CTCGCTCATCCGCCAGCTTGCTGAATAGCGCCGCCCTTGCGATGAAGCAGTGTGAAAGTCAGAACTCTCGAGGCAAGCTCTAATTCATACCCCCTAGAGGCCCCCATGCAGCCCCAAGGCTGATCCAAATGCCCTCTGAGCCCTCCACGGCGCCCATCACTAACCCTATTTAGAGTCACGCTATCATTTGCTTGAGGCTCGGGGCCAGGCTGGCTCAACTGTGCAGCGCCGACAGAGCAGCATGGCCTAGGCCACTGCAGCGGTGGAAGACGATAAGGAGGAGGACGAGGAGAACGAGGGGGGCGGGTGGAGTGAGGGAGGATGGCTCGGGGGAATCAAGAACGAGGAGGAGGAGAAAAAGGGAGGGGGATGAAGAGAACATAAACATGGGAGGGCAAACTATAAAGAGGACAGGAAGGGTGAACCGTCAACGCTGGCAAACCCTGGCAGCTCGGCGCTCTGTGCGCATTGGCATTTGTTCTTTCGCATGCTCCTCGTCTGCCCCCCGCTTGTCCTCCTCCTCCTCCGCCTCCTCTTCCTTTTCCTTTCCCCCTCCTCCTCCTCCCCCTCCTCCTCCTCCTTCTCCTCCTCCTCCTCCTCCTCCTTAGTCACTTAGTGAAAGCAGCTGCGCCCACCGGTCGAGCAGCTGGCCCTGATTCGCCAACCCCACCGAGGGCAAAAGCTGCACGAACAAACGCTCCAGGACATTCTGGCTCATTGCGTTCCCCAACGCGTGGCCGAACTGCCAATCCGACCCCGTGAAACACACGCGGCCCGGGTCCATGCCCTGCGCACGCGCCATCTCATCCACGGTGGTCTTGCGCCGCCGGGATGCCAGCCAAAACCCTGAAGATGCACCGCGCGAAGCGGTCAAGCAGGGCACCATGTTGATTTTGTGATTCAACACACTGGAATCCACATCAACGGCCACCTCGTGTTTGGAAGTGATCTTGGGGCCGTCGTAGGTCTTATAGAACAACTTAACCTTGGGGGCGGGTTGCTTCATCATCCCCCCCCTCCTCCCCGGGCCCCCTTTGATGGATCCGGGGCTGCGCTCTGACTGACCAGGAGTGCCGGGCGAATCCGGCGGTGGCAACACGGGGCCTCGCAGGCCCCAGCCATTCCGACGGCGACTGCGACCACGAAGCCCCAGCCTGTTTGCGCTGGTGGTTCGCCGTCGCCCCAGGCTGGCCGTTGGCAACCTTCTTGGGGCTGAGGATCGTCGAGAGGTCCGGGGTGGACTCGAGGGCCTCATGGGGGGGCGGTCAGAGCAACATCTTCATCCTCCTGCTCCTCCCCCTCCTCGGCCTCCTCCTCATTTCCTCCTTTTTTCCTCCTCCGTTGTCGTCTGCTCCTCCTCCCCCCCTTGTTTTTTTTGTTGTTGCAAACGCGTAGTGGCCTTCGGGAACGTGAATGGGTGCTTCGTCTGGCTCTTGAGCGTGCCAACGATGTACACGCGCGAGCGATGATGCGGCACGCCGTGCTCCCAAGTGCGAAGGATCTGCCACTGGACGTCATACAGGGGCTGGTTGTCCTGGCCTTTCATATTCTCGAGCTGCTTCAGGATCCAAGCAAAATATTCGGTGTGAATGCGAACCAACCCTGGAACATTTTCAAGTACGAAGGCCCACGGCTGCGCGCGCTTGAGATACTTGATGATGTCTTTGATGACACCACCCCGGTCATCACTCTCTCCGAGGTGGCGACCATTCTGTGAAAATGGCTGGCATGGGAAACCAACCGTGAAAAGCTCGGCCCGCCCACGAGGGCATCCAGGCAGTGGCCCTTTCACGTGTCTATCTACCTGCCCTCCCACCTCCCCGCCCACCATCTCCCTGAGGGAGATGGTCCACGGAGGCCCCCGTGGCCCTCCTGTAACTCACTGAGGCTCCGTGGCCCTCTTAGTTTAACTCACTGACTGGGGGTCCAACGGAGCGCGTCAGCTATGCAATGGGCGAACGGAGCGTGCTTCGTGAACAAAGTGGACGAAGCGTCGTCCAAAATGATATCGCAATCGGGGAACCTGGCGGCCAAATGCTCGCGCAAGTGTGACTTCTGCTCGCACATGAAAACGGGTGCTGTGCTCACGCCGATGGCCTCCAGGGCCAGTTCGTCAGTCCCCAACCCAGTGCAACAACTCCCAGTGGTCACTTTTGGTTTGTGCTGCTGCTGCTGCTGCTGCTGCTGCTGGGTTGCTGCTGCTGCTGGGCGACGCATGGGAGCGGCTGAGGCTGCTGCTGGTCGCCGAAGCGTCGACGTGCCAGTCGAGGACGGTCTCTTGGCAAGAGCAACCTCTGGGTTCTGACGGGCCTTCTTCGCGGGCGAGCCGACGACGAAATCCCAGTCCAGGTCCATGGGGCCAACGGACGTGTCCAGAACTGAGTTGGGAGCTCTGAGAAGTGGGGGCGCGCGCAGAGCCACAACAGCTTCCATGCGAGTCGAAACGTAACCAACGCTACAACCATTGGAGCTTATTTGGCCCAGTAGGACTCCAAGAAAACCCAAGATATGCAAATGTGGTTTTTAACATGGCCTAAGATTGCCAAGCATGGCTCAACATAGCCTCCGACGCACCTCCAAGAAACCTCAAGACAACATCAAGATGGCCCTAGATAGCCGAGCATGGCTCAAGATAGCCTCCGACAGCTAATAGCCGAGCATGGCTCAAGATAGCCCCCAAAGGGGCCCCAAGAAAACGGGCAATCAATTGTGGATGGGCTGGCGGGGATACGCACAGCGTCAAGACTTGAAGACGTCCCCTTTGTTGATCGATCTCCTCCAATATGGCCCCTAGAGCGCCACTAAGGCTCCCAAGAGCGCCGCAAAAAAGACCTCAAGAGGCGCCCAGGAAACCCCAAGAGGTGACCAAGAGGCATCCAAGAGGCTCCCAAGAGACCCCCAAGATGGCCGAGAAGGTTCCCCGAGGCCCCCAAGACGCTCCTCAGCGACGCACCCAAGGCCGCCGATCGGCCCCCAAGACGCCCTGAGAGGCCTCCACAAGGCTTCCAACATACATCAGGCGAGAAGACTCCGAGAGCCATTCAAGAGGCCTCTGGCTCGTCTGCTAGCCCTCCTCCTCCTGCTCCTGTTTCTCCTCCTCCCCCTCCCGCTACTCCAGCTCCTCCTCATCAGCATAATTATCACCCTTCACCCTGCGCCCTCATCCACCCTCCTCTTGCCTCGAGCGATGACGGCTGTTCCCCTCTTTGCTCCTCATCCTCCTGCTCCTCCTGTTCCTGCTCCTCCTGCTCCTCCTCTTTCTCCTCCTCCTCCTCCTCCTCCTCCTCTCCCTCCCCCCCCTCCTCCCCCTCGTCCTCCTCGCCCTCGTATTTCCTTTGTTCTCGTTCTACTCCTCTTGGTTGTGGCCGCCGTCGCCGTCGCCGCCGTCGCGGCCCCCCGGGCGGCGAGTCGCGGGCCCCCGAGCGACCGTCGCTCCCGGCGGTCTTCCCTGCCGGGGGTGGGGCTTGAGGAGGAGGGGTCTGGATTACTATTGGAGCCAATTCCGACGTTTACATGACCATAAACAGAAATCCCTATTCCTGGCGCTTGCTTCACGTACCCCCACCAACCCATCCATCGCCCATGCGAGTTGAGACGATCAGGGACATGTAGGAACAGGAGGAGGAGGAGGAGGAGGGCGACGTGGAAAAGAAGAAGGAGGAGGACTCCTGGAGAAGGAGAAGGGCAATCGGCAAGGCTAGGCGTTAAAAGAGGGGAAGTAGGAGGAGTAGGAGGAGGAGGAGCAGGAGGAGTGACTTGACTATGATTCAAACAGGGCGGGGTGGAGGGTCTTAGGCTTAGGGGTGAGGTTGGGGGGCCAATCTTGGGCCCCATGGCTCAAAAAGAGGAGGCGCCTCAATTGGCATCGGAGGCTCACAAACAGCATCTCGGGGCCCTCTTGGAGCGCTTTTGGGCGCCTCTTGGGCGATGTTGGGGCCGTATTCGGCCTTCGCTGGCCCCTCTTGGGCCTCTTTTGGGTCATCTTGGGGCCATCTTGAGGCTTCCAAAGCCCATCGGAAACGAAAAGGCGATAATGCCAACCCCAGTGCGACCCTGCCTAGAAGTTGGAGCCCCTAGGGAAGCCGCATTAATTGCTATGCTATGCTATGCTATGCTATGCCATGAGATGCTGCGGTATGATATGATATAATTCTATTATGCCCTGCGATGTTGCCTATGTTATGATATGATCTGCTAAGCTGCGCTATGCTGTGCTATGCTATGCTATGCTGTGCTGTGTTATGTTATGATGTGCTGCGCTGTGGTATGCTATGCTATGCTATGCTGCGCTATGCTATGCTATGCTGGGCTTTGCTATGATATGCTGTGCCCCCGCTGAGAGGCAACGTCGCCCTTAACATTTTCTCCGCGTCCCTGCGCCCGTTCTAAACATCCTGTACATTCTCTCAGGAAGCTCACTCAAGGAACGGAAGGTCCTCGCTGTGCGACAAATTCTCCAAATACTCTTCCAGTAAGTCAGGGAATAAATTTCTCCACGGCCAAGTCCGCAATTCCCAATGGTACAGTCGAATCCAAATCGCATCGTCAGACAAAGGGTTAACGTTCACAAGCAAAGACGGGCTGTCAACTATCGTATCGCTGCCAGAAATCACATCAAATTGCTTGCCATCCCTGGGGGGCTGCTCGCATGGGCCAGCCGTTTCCGTCGAGCTCGGCGGCGACGGCGATCTGCGTCGGAGCCGGCGGCGATGGCGATCCGCGTCGGAGCGGAGCTTGCCGGATCCCGGACTGGCAAGGGGACGCTTCATGGCTGAAAACCGGAACCAAGCGGCTACTGAGAGGAGGAGGAGAGGAGGGGTGACGAGGAGGAGGGGGGGGGGGGACATTTTCAAGTAGGAAAACCATGAACAGGGTAAGGGGGGTGCCGTATGGGGCTCCAACTGGGCTGCTCCAGGCGACGTCTGCTCGAACCCCGACTGCCCCGACCCTTAGACTAGATCCCCGCCGCGCCCCCCGCCGCCCCGCCGCCCCCCCGAGAGGTCACGTCGCCAACTCTGAAGGCTTCAGACTGACCAGGCGGCAAATCAATCTTTCAATCCTGCTTAAGCACCAGGCAGCCAGAGGCAGACGCGGTGCCCATGGCCGCCCGCAGAAGCGGGGTGGCCGCGGAGCCTGGGCCGCCGAGCCCGCGCGATTCCGGCGAGCAACGCGCCCCGTCATTTCGGCCGAAGGAGGCGCTGCGTAACGCCAGCAGGTTGCCGTCGAGTTCCGCAGTCGGCGCGGCGCCGCCGCGCTCGGAGGCGCCCTCCCGAGCGGTTTCACGGCGGCCAGCCAGGCGCGCCCATGCCGAATACGTCTGGCGCGCGCGCGCCCGGCGCGCCTGGCCCGCGCGCGCCCGACGCCCCTGCGGGCCGCGCGTTGGCTGGCGCGGCGCCCATGCCGAGTGCGTCCGGCGCGGCGCTCACGCCTGGCGCGCGGGGGCCGACGACGCGGCTGAGTTCCCGGCGGCTTGCGGCGCGCGCCGATGCTGAAAATTAGCCGCTGGCCTTCGTCCACGAGCCCCCCTCGCCCTCTTCTCCTTATCGCGCCCCCCCCCCCCCCCCCCTCTCTCTGCCATTTCGTCGCGTTCGACGCGCCCTCGCGCCCCCCCCCCTCCCCCCTCTCCCCCGACGACCTCGCCCTCTTTTTTCCCATCCACCCTCCGCCCTCGCCCCCCGCGGCCCTTTCCGCGCCCCCCCCGCGCCGAACGTGGCGCGAAGGATAAGGGAACGCCGTCCTCGGCGGATCGGCTGGTCAGCCGCGTCCGCTGCCAGATTGCGCCCGCGGCGGCGCGTGGCGCGCGCGTCGCCTGCGCCCGCAACTGGCTTGGGGCGTCGCGCCGAATCGCTGCGGCGAGCGCTTTGCGAGCTCTTCCGCGAGCCGCCCCGCGCGACCACGGCGGGCTTCGCGGCGCGGCAAGGCGCGCCGTCTGCTGCGAGACCCCCACGGCTACGCGGGGTCGCTGACCACTTTTTCCACGGTGCGAGCGGGCTGCTCAGAATGGTCTGACAAGGCCCTTGAGTTCGACGGCGATCTGCTGCAAGTTTGAGGAGGCGGGAAGCGCGGGCCACGCGCGCACGCGGCGCCCTTGCCCCGCAAGCGTGGCGGTGGCGGGCAAGGGCGCCGACGGCTTCAACGACGCATTCGCAGCCGACAGGGCGGGCGCAGCGACGCGCGCGACAGCTCAGCCATTGCCTGTTGCATAGCGACGGAGCAGCGGAGAGGTGGCCGCCAGAAGAAGAAGAGACGGGACGCCCCGACGCGGGGGTTGCACGCGCGCCCCCTGGCCCGCGCCAGCAAACTGCGATTGCAATAATTCCCCCCCCCGCCCGCGCCCCCCCCCCCCCCCCCCCCGCGCCCCCCCCCCTGCCCGTTCCGCTAGCGCCCCCCGCGCGACTGGTCGCAGCCGCGGGCGGCGCGACGCGTTGCTTCGGGCGGTCTGGCGGCGGGTGCGCGGCGGAAGGTCATGCGCGCGGTTATCTTGCTTACGTGGCGGCGTTGTTCGCGCGGTTGAAGCACTCAACCTTGCGCGCTTACCGTAGTGATTTGTATCGCATGGCCCTGCGCAAATGCCGATGGGCCCGATGCCGGCCCCGAGTGCGCGCGCGCGGTTGGTTGCGTGGGTCGCCTTGTGGCGGCGCGCGCCGCGTCGGCTGCGAGGGTCGCCGCGCGCGAGGCCGCTTCTCGGACGGCGCCGCGTCAACGTCCCACAGGGCGCCACATCAACACAAGAGGCGCGCCCGATCGACATGTCGCACACCGCCCGTTTCTTTTTCCATATCCTGTCCGCGCTGAGTTTAACCTCCCACGGCGGCCATTGGCAAAACGAAGCGCCTCTTCGTTGGCCGCGCCCCTTCACCTCCCCCTCGTGCAACTTCCGCTGCCCGCGCTGCCCACGCGCCCGCATGGGCGCGCCCCGCCGCGCGGGCTGTGCCCCAGAGGAAGTTCCGCCCGCGCGCCCAACGGGCGGAGTCGCTCCCCCCCCCCCCCCCAGCCACCACCACCACCCCCGCCAGCGTCGGTGGACCCATTTCCAGGATCGCGTGCTGGGGGAAGGGTCGACAGCGGCCCCGGTGGGTGCGCTCGCGTTGCGCCCCGCGTTCTTTCGGGCAGGTCCCCGCGCATGTCGCGCCCCGCATGGAGAGGGCGGCGGCGGCGGCGTCGGCGACGACGACAACGGCGACGACGAAGGAGGCGGCGACGGCCGATGGCGACGGCGACGGCGAGGGCCGCGGCGGCGGCGCCAGCGACGTCGACGGCGACGACGACGACAACGGCGACGGCGACGACGACGCAGGGGGCCCCGCGCGCGGCCCCCGCGGGGGCGTTCGCGCAGTGCCTCCCGATCGCGTCGGCGCCCCGCGCGCGTGGGCGGCGCCCTGCTGGCGGCCCCAACCACCAGTTACGGTCCCAGCGGGCGTGGTCGCATGGCGCCGCCAGCCCGCCTCGGCGCACCCCTCGCGCGGATCGTGCAGGAGTGGGGCCCCGCCATGGTCTCCAATCTTCTGGAGTAGGGGCCCCGCCAAGGTCCCCCCCCCAATCCTCTGCGCTCGGCGGGGCCCCGCGCCCGTCGGGGCCTGGGAGGGGGCGCGCAGGGCTAGCGGTGCCCGCTGGCGTGGTCTTGTTGCGCGTGTGTGTGCGCGTTCGGAGAAACTGCGCCTCGCGATGTTCGCGGGCGCCTGGGTGGTGCAGGCTTGGATGCGCGTGTATCAATCTGTGTATATCAGAGTGAGGGGGCCGAACGGTCATTCACTGTCCCTGGGTGCGCGGCTGAAGTGGAATTCCGCGGTGCGGATTCTCGTTGTTGTTGTTTGTTGAACATTATTTATTCTAAAGAATAATTATTGTTGGGCCCCCTGGTGCGCGCCCCCCCTGCGCCGCCTAGGCCGCAGCTACATTTTCATCATTTTCGTGAGGAAGCCTCAGGAAAAGATGTGTCCAGATCCGGTTGTTTTGTTGTAATCCGCTTTCCCTTGCAAAAAACACTATAAAATGACATTTCTTGTTCTAATATAATCAAATTTCAAGAATCCCTTGCAAAAAATAAGGTAAAGTGGACATTCGCGCGCGCAAGACGAAATCCTTCCAAAACCTTAGTGTTCGAGCGATTTTAACATAAAAACATTTAAAAAAAAAAAACCAATGGTTTTCAACAAAAAATTGTCAAAATCTCATCCCGCGCGCTCTTGCGGATTCGTAGGAAACCCAACACTTTTTAAACATTTCTGTCAAACGGGCTTTTGCGAGCAACTTTTTCGAACTTCTGCGACAACGGTTGCGCACCTGCCAGGGCCATCATCCCTGTCAAATAATACCATGCGGGACACATTCGTTTTTTCTTCGCGCGCGCACGCCGTCGTCGTCGGCCGCGGGGCCCTGAATAGTAGCCACGGTCGTCCGCATGCCACGAAGTGAAGTGTCCGAACGTCATAGGGCGGGAAGCTGGGTGTGGGTGGTGGCGAAGAGTCGTTTGGAAATTTGGTAGAGCTTGAACCGGCCCCCCCACAAAGTGGGGGTATTGCCCGCCTCCTGTGAAAACCCTGGCACTGGTGAGAACGGAGTGTCCCCACGTGCTAGTAATTGTTGTTGTTGTTGTTGTTGTTGGTGGTGGTGGTGGTGGTGGTGGTGGTGGTGGTGCTGCTGCTGCTGTTGTTGTTGCCGTTGCCGTTGCCGTTGCCGTTGCCGTTGCCGTTGTTGTTGTTGCTGTTGAACATTATTTATTCTAAAGAATAATTATTGTTGGGCCCCCTGGTGCGCGCCCCCCCTGCGCCGCCTAGGCCGCAGCTACATTTTCATCATTTTCGTGAGGAAGCCTCAGAAAAGAGGGTGTGTACAGGATCCGGTTGTTTTGTTGTAATCCGCTTTCCCTTGCAAAAAACAATAGAAAATGACATTTCTTGTTCTAATATAATCAAATTTCAAGAATCCCTTGCAAAAAATAAGGTAAAGTGGACATTCGCGCGCGCAAGACGAAATCCTTCCAAAACCTTAGTGTTCGCAGCGATTTTAACATAAAAACATCAAAAAACCAATGGTTTTTCAACAAAAAATTGTCAAAATCTCATCCCGCGCGCTCTTGCGGATTCGTAGGAAACCCAACACTTTTTAAACATTTCTGTCAAACGGGCTTTTGCGAGCAACTTTTTCGAACTTCTGCGACAACGGTTGCGCACCTGCCAGGGCCATCATCCCTGTCAAATAATACCATGCGGGACACATTCGTTTTTTCTTCGCGCGCGCACGCCGTCGTCGTCGGCCGCGGGGCCCTGAATAGTAGCCACGGTCGTCCGCATGCCACGAAGTGAAGTGTCCGAACGTCATAGGGCGGGAAGCTGGGTGTGGGTGGTGGCGAAGAGTCGTTTGGAAATTTGGTAGAGCTTGAACCGGCCCCCCCACAAAGTGGGGGTATTGCCCGCCTCCTATGAAAACCCTGGCACTGGTGAGAACGGAGTGTCCCCAGTCTTAAATGATTGTTGTTGTTGATGTTGTTGTTGTTGTTGTGGCTGTTGTTGATGTGGATGTTGTTGTTGATGATGCTGTCGTTGATGATGGTGTTGTTGATGTTTGTTTATTGATGCTGTTGCTGATGGTGGTGTTGTTGCTGTTGTCGTTGATGTTGTTGCTGTTGTGGCTGCTCATGGCGCTCCTGGCGCCTGCCGGGCCGCAGCTGCGGCAGAGGCGCCTAGCCGCCGCCTCTCTCCACGGCACCCCCCTGCCCCCGGCGGCCGCCCGAGGCGCTCCAGACGGCCCAGCTGGGCCGGATCTTCCGCCTCAGCGACCCCAAGAGGCGAGTTCCCGCGGCTGATCGGGCAGGGCGAAAGGGGGGGATTGGGAAGTGGGGGGGTACGAAATTTGCTGCATGCAGCTGGTTTCGGCCTCACCGAGGGGCCCATTCCTCGATACATGGCCGCCTCCGGCGCCGGGAGGCGCCGGGAAAATCGGCTACGTGAGCTGATTCTCAACCCCCCCCTTTGCTATCCCCCCCTTTCGCCCGACCCGAGCCGACCGGCGGCGGGCGGTTGCAGCGAACAGTGGCAAGCCGACCTCACCGAGTGCGGCGCACTGCTCGCAGAGTGCCTGCTCGCAAGCGTCCGAAACAAACACACACACACACACATGTCTGCTTCGATGCAATTTCGCGTAGTTCCCCCGCGGCGGATCCAGGCCACTTGCGAGTAGCTACTTTGCGAGTAGTGGAACGCGCTCGCCTACGGCCCCAAGAGGCGAGCTCCCCGCGGCCGACCGGCAGCGGGCGGTTTTGCAGCGAACTTCCGAGGAGGAAGAGGTGCCCATAACTACCTCTACCCTTTCTCCTCGTTTTTGCCCCCTTTTGGGCCTCCTCGGAGGCCCTCGTCGCCACCGCTGGATTCGCCTCGAAAGCGTGGTCAGAGCGCACCCCGGGAGAGGCCCGGTGAGTTGCGGCATCGGTGGTTTCTGGTCTCCCCAGAACAGTGGCAAAAGCCGACTCCAGCCCCCACAGCAATGGATTTTGCACGTCAACGTTTTGCAAGTAGGTCGGGCCGGACGAAACGGGGGGATTGGGAAAGGGGGGGGTACGAAATTTGCATGCAGCTGGTTCGGGCCCACCGAGGGGCCCATTCCTCGATACATAGCCGCCTCTGGCGCCGGGAGGCGCCGGGTAAATCAGCTACGTGAGCTAATTCTCAAACCCCCCCTTTGCTATCCCCCCCCCCGTTTTCGCCCGACCCGAGTAGGGCGAAGCCGCGTGAGCGCAGGCGCCCTGTCAGCGGGGCCACTGCCAGCGTCCGCAAGGGGGGGGGGGCCCGCGCGCGCGGTCCAGTTGGTCTGCGGTGCCTCGCTTGGGGGGGCGGGGGCCGGGGCCTCCCGTGGCCGACCGGCGACAGGCAGTTAGAGCCAAGTGGGGGCTCAAGAGACGGGGGTCCACGCCATCGAAGGGGCCCTGGGACAGACCATTAGATAGACACAAATCACAGGACACCCCATATTTCCCAATATTTTCGGGGTGTTCGTCTCCCCCCCCCCCACTTCCATATTTCCCCGTATTTTCTGAAGGGGTCGACGATTGATGGTGTTTGTATGTTTTTCTCCCGCTCCTGGAGTCAGAGCGCCGGAGCGTGCAGGATCTTGCTGGATCCTGCAGGGCCAGGGGTGCATTGGCCCGGGCTTGGGTGCAGGAGCCTGCAGGAGCCTGCAGGATCTTGCAGGATGCTGCAAGGCCTGACTGACCCGAGTCTGCGTCGACCTGGGTCAGAAGCTGCCCGATCAAGGCTTATTTCGGGGTCGGGAGGGGCCCTGCTTTTCGGGCCGTTCCGTAGATCTAGGTCGGGGGACCTGATCGTGATCGAGGCTCGCCATGAGCAGAGAAACGTCCCTTCGCTCTTTCTTCGGCGCGCAGTCTGACAGCACGACTGCCGCATGAGCATCATGTTCAGGCCCCGTGCGGATGAACCAGGATTCGGCAAATCCAACCTGGAGAGAGGGAGGAATGGAGAGCGTTTCGACCCAGGGGTCGACCTAAACTTAAACGGTGTGTTGGCGATTTTGTGGGCCGTGGTCGTTTCGATGTTGTTTTGCGACAGAGGCGGGCTGAAGACAACACGAGGAGGAGGGCGAAACCAAAACGAACACGAAAAGCACCGTTTCGGGCGATCGATCTCTGCTTCGACCCGCAGCTGCAGGTCCCTCCTGCACGCCAGAGGCCCCCTCGCAGAGAGGGCCAGGGCCCCGCAGACGGGGGCCCCGACGGACCAGAGCGCGCTGGCGCGCCCGAGCGCGCTGCAGCCGTGGGGGCGAAGCACCCTCCACGCTTCGCTCTCCCCCCGGCCGGAGCCCTCCAGGCCCTGGCCAGCGAGGTCCTGGCTCGCAGGGGCTCGGGGCGTCCTGCCGTGCCCCCGTGGCTTGCTCGAGGCGGCGTTCGAGGGGGCGCATAGCTGGCGAGCCCCTCTCTGCCTCCCTCCCTCCCTCATCTCATTCCTTCCCTCCTCCTCCTCTTCCTCCTTCTCCTCCTCCTTCTCCTCCTCCTCCCCCTCCTCCTCCTTCTCCTCCTCCTCCTCCGCCTCCTCCTCCTCCTCCTCCCCAATCGAGGCAGGACGAGACACGGCGCAGGCACGCGGAGACCCGTGCGGAAAGGTCGGGCGCGGCGGAGCTTCGGGCCGCCCTCCCCGCACGCACCCTTGGCGGCGGCCTCCGCCCCCCCGCGCCCTCGCGGTCCGGATCTTCCCGGGCGCGATCTCCCGCAGCTGCGCGGTCGCACGGACGGGCGCCGCGCGGGGCGGCCGCGAGAGAAGCGCACCGCGTCCGCAGGGTCGCGGCCCAGGGGCTCAGCCCGCGAGGCCGCAGAGGCGGACATGTTTTTTTCGCCCACGAGGTGCGTCGGCAGTCGACCCGCGCAGTCAGGATGGGCAGCCTTCCCAGCGGAAACCCTTGCATCCTTGCCTCCTCGGCCCATCCCTTGGCCACTTTCGTTGGCCGCGCCCCGCTCGAAAAGCTTCGAAATGGGCTTCCCAGGCCCTGGCATCCTGCCGCCGATCCGGGTCGCCTGGGGTGCCCCCCAGACTGGGCGGCGACACTTCGCCGACAGACGCGCGCGCGTGCCGTCGGTATTGATCCTGCCTCCCCCCTCTGTGACGTGCTTTCTCTCTCCCAGAGCGGGGAGGTGCGTCTTCAGAGGAGCCCCCCCACACACAGAATCAAGCAGTGGCGAAGCGTCCTGGCTCGCCTATAGCCCACCAAACAATGTTCTAAGAACCTGTTGTGGTTTCCGGGAAATGTTCTTAGAACAGTTCTGGTTGGGACTGTCTTGTTTTAGCACACCGGGCCTATCTTCTAAGAACATTGTTGTTGTTCTAAGAACATTTTTGGGGTTCTACGAACATTTCGTGGTAGGACTACAGGAATGCCGGGACGGTCGGTCCCTGCTCCACAGAAGCAGCCACGCCGCCCGGGTTGCCCCCCCCCCCCCCCCCTCTGGTTTTTGGGGGCGCGCGCCTGCGGCCTCTGCTCGCGGCGGGGGCGGGGGCGGGCAGAGGCCGCGGCCCACGGCCTGGGAGCGCGGAGAGCGCCGGCGGGGCCGCGGGGGGCACCCGCGGGATCCGCCGCGCTGCGGGCCTGGATCCCACGATGCCCCCCCCCAGCCAGAGGAAAAGCGGGTGGGGCTCCTCCATTTCTGCCGGGCCTGTCCCTCTAGAGGAGGAAGATTCCAACATATGCGTTTTAAAGAATCGTTTGGGAAGGATGTTTTTTTGGTTTGAAAATGGTAGTAATGTGTTGACAATGTTTAAGTATCTTGAAGGGTATGTTTCATTTCTCGTCCAAAAGCCGCCTGTAGGAGGACGTGCCCGACCTAATCCTAGATGGGGTCGGAGCAGATGGCTTCGAAGGATCGCGCCGCGTCGCCGAGGCATCGGCGCTGCGGCTTGATGTGGAGCCCGGTTTTCTCCACGCCGGCTTCGCCGATGCACCGCCGCCGGCGCCGATGCATCGTTGGTGCATCGTCGATGCATCGGCGATGCGCCGCGACCTCCGACCCCATCTGCTCGGACCCATTTGGGGGGCCTCTTAGAACACAGACCACCGCGACCGAGAACCCATCGGGGGGGCTGGTCCCTGAGCGGCGGCACGCCTGAGCGTCGTCTAATACTGGGTGACGCTCGAGCGTGCCACCGTCCAGGGGCCGCCCCCCACCCCCTCCAGCAGGTTCTCGGTGGCGGTGGTCTCTGTTCCTCTTCTGAAAGTAGCGGGCAGCCCAGCTGGTGGGTCATGGTATTTCGAGGGACTGAATGAGCTGATGCCGCATTCGAAATCCACCGCAAGCATCGCAAGGGCCAGCAGAATGCATGCAGCACTCTGCCGGCGCTTACGATGATTTTGCCAGGAGTGGTCTGTGAGCGCATGCCGTGCGAGGACAGTACCAGGCTTCCTTGACTTGACCAAGCCAGCTCGCTACTGTAAGAGTTAGCAGATCATGGCTTTGGCAAGTTCGCGTGAGAAAGCGTGGGGCAGCCATGACGGCATGCAAATGATATGAGCACTAGAAGCTATAGGCGCGCACCGTCTATCGCAATGTGCTCACAAAGTGGGATGCAATGTTTCCGTTTTCCTCGAGAAAGCCGGAAGAAACAAACGACGTCATTGGCTGCTGGTGGCCAGGACGATGGACTGCGCAAGGCGGGCTAGTACAGCGGACGAACCAGAGCGACCAACGATGAGTCTCCTCTGTGCAACTGCCCTCCCGATAACAAAGGCAACGATGATGGTCACGATGACGTGGTCCAGCACGCTGGTTCTGGCAGGGGGACCTTGTTCCAAACGTCCAAATATTGTTATGGAGATTGCTCCTGTGGCGCAGCCATCCTCACATGACAACTGCTGGTCCGGCGGCGCACAGGGGGGGGGGGCGTAGTTGCTGGTGTGCTGGGAGCGGCGGTGCGCTCTGTCCAGGCTGGAAGTGAGTGAGTGGCCCAGACTGCCAAAAGCACGCCAATGACGACACAAGATTGCGCATGCCCACTTCTTATTAGCTGGCGTTCGGCCAGAGTCTGTCAGTTCTGTTACTGTTGCCAGCAACGCTTCGGCTTTGAGGAGCCAGGTCAGTGCATCCAGCGCTAAAGGACACGATGTTGCATGTGATGATGAGCCGCCCTGGCGTTTACCAGCGATCACAACCCACTTGGCCACAGGCACGCGCCTTGATTTTACGGTACTCCGCGTGGTGAGCGATGGCTAACCATGACGAGTTGGTTGGCCTGCCCTGTATAGTAATCTATATTCGGGGACGGCGTCGAAGGGCAGCCCACGACAATAGGGAAGCCGTCGGAAGTCTGCTTGGGGGCATGTAGCCTGGGAGGCAAACGTCACAGGTGTACATAATGGAGGATGACGATTAATAAAGGACCGGGGTCGTGTTCACGCGGCGGCGCCCGGGATGACGATTAGAAAAAACCGGCCGCGGGCTGGAAAACTATGTTTTATCGTTCTCCTCCAGTCAGAAAGCTGTGCAGAAATAGCAGGAAACTATTTGTTTAATCGTTACCTCCAATTTTTTTATGAATCGTCATCCCGCATTATGTGCACACATACATGCACGGGCACGGGGCCAGCAGCCTGCAAGCCCGGGCCACGACGGCCCCTGCCACTGCCCCCTGGGCCAGGCAGATTCTGCCCAACCGCTCTTCAGATCATGTTTGCTGTTGCGATCTCCGTGCCGCCCAGCACCACCGAGTGGGTCCCGATTTGGCCAGGCGGGCGAGCTTTCTCGCAGCCGCGCGGATCCTCCCCCCGGCAGAGCACCGCGCCAGGGATATCGTCTTCGTGGCACCGAAGTTCCTCCACGAGGACATACTCCAGTGAGGGGAGGGGGGGCCATCCCGAGGAAGAAACAACTTGTATAAGCATAAACGTTCGGAGGTGCGCGGATGTCTTGTCGGGGAAGCGCAAGACTCGAGTACGCCGGAACTCGAGTTCGCCCGCTCTTTTTGATGAGCCCGCCCTGGGTTTTGCCGGTTCAGTGTTCGTGGGATGCTTGCAGCGAGAGCTCGCGTCAAATTTCAGACGGGGGCTCGTCATTGTCATGATGGCCCCGTCAGGCCAACCCGACTCCCCCGAGCCCGAGTCTTACGTCCCCCCGATCTTGGAGCGACGTTGGGCCCCCTTGGCGGCGCCCAGCGCCGATCCAGGACATCTGCGCGGGCCTCCGAAGGTTGATGATCCTGCCTGTGTGTTCTCTTCTTCTACCGTCAGGGCCGCATGGAGCACTTGCGTCAGCGCATCTATCGTGCAGCAGCTTGTACCCTCCAGGGAGACGGCGGGCACCAGCCTCGTGTCCAGGGCGTTTTCCAAAAGACATGTTGGTCAAGGTGTGGTGCTTCGGGTGCACGGGTCTACAGTTGCGCTGCCGCGCGGTTCCGCGGTCGGGTCGTCACCGTGCGGCTGGTCGCACCCGAAGGCTCGAGGGAGGAGGAACTGCCCCAGCTTTCACAACTTCCGTTTCCTGGACAGTCCTGGACGTTTGCGAAACAGCCTTTCCCTGCCCGAGCCCTGCCCTAGAAGGCCTTGGCTTACGGCTTATGGTGAGGGCCGATGTTCTGCCCTCGAAATATGGCCACGTGCATGGGGTCAAGAGGGAGCGGCTGGGCCAGCTCCGGGGGGCGCAGGCTGTCGGCTGCGGTCGGGCGTCGTCCATGCTTCTCCCGGCTCCCGGCTTGTCCTCGACAGCTCCTGCACTCGCGCTTGGACGGTCTCCCCTTGTGGTCAGCGGGTCGGCACCGCACCAGTGCAGATGTTGCATTCGCCACGTCGCTCCTCTTTCTGCCATGGGGGCGCGCTGGGAGGTGCTGGGGAAAGGTCCGCGGGGGGCAGGTACTACTCCAGCATCATGCAGTTCCGCGGCGTGAAGAACCCCCCCGGGCGGTTCCAGGCGCCTCCAGCTGACGTCGTGTGTTGTAAATCGTTGAGGGCCTGCCCGCCTGGCAGCGGCCGAAGCGATGTCTCTTCGCCGGGCCATCGCCTCTTCCGCCCGATCGCGGGGCGAAGCCCGACAGCAGTTCTTGCCGATTCTGAGCAGGGCTCGTTGTCGGGGTCGCCACGGGCGTTGTCTACTTGAGACAGAAGGCGACCGGCCCAACAGCGGCCACTGCCAGTGTTGGACAGCAGTTGTTGTTGGGCATCGTGCCCAGTTTTTGCCAGCTGCGCGTAGGAGTGACCTTTCGCCAGAGTGGCATGTGGCGCGGGCCCATAAGGGGCCACCCCAGCAGTGGTTTGCGCGCTTGGATTTGGCCCCCACCGCGGCCTGCCAGAGCCGCGCACCTAAGAGTCACCCTTGCCCAGGGCCACTCTTACGCGCAGCCGATTTTGTCCCTACCCGCTTCGGACGTCCGAAATCGTTTCATCCGTCCGTCATGGGCGAACGCACACATCCGCATCCGCGGCCTCGAGGGCCCGGGCCCCGAGGCCGCGCCCCCGCGGACACGGGGGCGCTTTTTGCCGCGCATGCCCCGCGTGGCGCGCCCTGGAATGCAGGCCGCGGGGGCGCGGACACGGGACATGTGCGCCGCTCGCGAGTGCGCTCGCTTCTGCCACCGTTGCTGGGGTTGAGTCGGGCACGTCTCTCTACAGGAGGAGTATCCCAAACATTGTCAAAAAATAGTCCGAGGACGATTTTTCTACCATGTGCTCGAGTATGTTTGATTATTTGTTGACTCGGCTATCTTTAATTCAGGCCTCGGAACAATTAGCGAACAGTCATGCCATATTCATCTGTCAACTACTCCCCCCCCAATGTTCAAAGTTGGCGGTGGGTCTGATGGGATGCACTTCGACCGCAGTCTCCCCCGCGCGTGCCAACAGTGAGGCTGGGGGGGAGGGGGAGTGTTCAGTAATTCTTTCCCTCTACCGTTTCTCGTCCAAACATCCGCCTCTCTAGGAGGACAGGCGCACTGGTGGACGTTCTGCGCAACCGCACTGGACCGCATTGAACCCGCTGCAACCCTCGGACAGGCCGCTGCGGGGCCGCGGGGCGGCGGCCCTCTCCGGGGCCGCGGCGCCCTGGGCCGCGCCCGCGGCCCGCGCGCCGCCCTGCGGGCCTCCCGCGGGGGGGCTGCCGCCCGGCCGCGCGGCGGCCCTCTCCGGGGCCGCGGCGCCCGGGCGCGCGCCGCGCCACATACGCGCGCGCGTCGGCGGGCGGCCCGCCCCCCTCGCCAGAGGAGGCGCGCCGCCGGAGGCGGCCTTCGAGGAGGAGGAGGAGGACGAGGAGGAGGAGAGGAGGAGGAGGAGGAGGGGAGGAGGAGGAGGGGAGGAGGAGAGAGGAGGGGAGTGAGGGAGGAGGAGGAGGAGGAGGAGGAGGAGGAGGAGGAGGAGGGGAGGAGGAGGAAAGAGGAGGAGGAGGAGGAGGAGGATGGAGGGGGAGGAGGAGGAGGAGGAGGAGGAGGGAGGAGGATGAGGATAGCAGGATGAAGAATGAGGAGGAGCGATGAGGAGGAGGACGAGGAGGAGGAGGAGGAGGCGGAGGAGGAGGAGGGGGCGTGGGGAGGAGGAGGAGGAGGAGGGACGCGGAGATAATGATACGGAGGAGGAGGAGGAGTGGAGGAGGAGGAGGAGACGAGGAGGAGGAGGAGGAGAGGAGGAGGAGGAGGAGGAAGGGGAGGGGAGTGGGGGGAGGAGGTGGAGGATGATAATGAGAATGAGGAGGAGGAGGAGGCGGAGGAGGGGGAGGAGGAGGAAAGAGGAGGAGGAGGAGGAGGAGGAGGAGGAGGAGGAGGAGGAGGAGGAGGAGGAGGAGGAGGAGGAGGAGGAGGAAGGAGGAGGAGGAGGAGGAGGGGAGGAGGAGGAGGAGGAGGAGGAGGAGGAGGAGGAGGAGGAGGAGGAGGAGCTAGCGAGAGGAGGAGGAGGAGGAGGAGGAGGAGGAGGAGGAGGAGAACAAGGAGGAGGAGAACAAGGAAGAGGAGAACAAGGAGGAGGATGAGGATGAGGAGGAGGAGGAGGAGGAGGAAGAGCAGGCGGAGGAGGAGGAGGAGGAGGAGGAGGAGGAGGAGGAGGAGGAGGAGGCGGGCGCGAGGAGGAGGCCCCCTAGGGCCTTGATCGGGCCTTTAGGGCCCGAGAAAGGCACCTTCCTCTCCGTCCCCCCGCAGTGCCAGGGAGCTCTGGCCCACGTCGGCGCCAGAGGGCCGCGGGGTGTGTGCCAAAATGGGCGCGGTGGCCGCATGCGATTGCTGGCATCTGGGGCCCTCCGCAGAGCTCCCTATGGGGCCACGGACCGTGTGTGAGGGGTGTGCCAAAATGGGTGCGGTGGCTGCATGCGAACGCTGGCATTTGGGCCTTCGGTGGGGCTCCCTCTGGGGCCACGAAACGTGTGAGGGGTGTGCCAAAATGCGTGCGGTGTCCGCATGCGAACGCTGGCATTTGGGCCTTCGGTGGGGCTCCTTATGGGGCCACGAAACGTGTCAGGGATGTGCTGAAAAGTGTGCCGTGGCCGCATGCGAACGCTTGCATTTCGACCTTCGGTGGGGCTTCCTATGGGGCCACGAGACGTGTGAGGAATGTGCCAGTATGGGTGCGGTGGCCGCATGCGAACGCTGGCAATTGGGCCTTCGGTGGGGCTCCCTGTGGGGCCACGAAACGTGTGAGGGACGCGAACGCCGGCATTTGGGCCTTCGTTGGGGCTTCCTGTGGGGCCCCGGAACATGTCAAGGGTGTGCCAAAATGGATGCGGTGGCCGCGTGCGAACGCTGGCATTCGGGCCCTCGGTGGGGCTCCCTGTGGGACCACGAAACGTGTGTGGGGTGTGCTGAAACGAGTGATGACGATGATGCTGATGATGATGCTGATGATGATGATGATGACGATGATGATGATGCTGATGATGATGCTGATGCTGATGCTGATGATGATGATGATGATGAGGAGGAGGAGGAGGAGGAGGAGGAGGAGGAGGAGGAGGAGGAGGAGGAGGAGGAGGAGGAGGAGGAGGAGGAGGAGGAGGAGGAGGAGGAGGAGGATGAGGAGGAGGAGGGAGAGGAGGAGGAGGGAGAGGGCAGCAGGAGGAGAAGTAGGAGGAGTGAACGCGGGGACCGTCTCTTCAAAACGAGGACCCAACACGGCATGATGGTTAGGAAGTCATGACGTCGGGGGTCTGGAAACACGGCACGGTGCATGGGCGCCTTCGTGTGCTTATTCCTTGTTTTGCCGATCGGCGCGGGCCCTCGCACCGCCTCCCCCCCAATGGGGGTAGATCCTTGCTGTTCTTGGCGCCTGCCTCAAGCAGCTGGAGTCTCCCTCATAGGACGCACAGCTGCAAGCAGTCGCGCGAAACAGAGGTCCCCTGTCAGACACCCCCCCGCCCCCCCCCCCCCCCCCTTGCTGCCCAGTGTCGAAACGCCGAACCAGAAAACGTTACCGGCCTCGTATTCGTGGCGGCCTCCCCCGGCAGTGCCCCGGGAGCGCCAGAGGGCCGCGGGGCTGGGTGCCTCCATCCTCGGTCCGTCGAGATCCCCGATGCCCGAGCCTCGAGCCTCCTCGGTCCCCGATCCTCCATCCTCCATCCCCAGACCCCACTCGTCGCGCAAAAATCCTGACCAGAGGTTTGTCGCTATGTTCGGCCTCTGGGGGCCCCTACCGGGCCTCGGGACCGTGCAAAGACGACTCGGGAGGAAACACCGATCCCGGTGAATGGGTCGAGACCTCTGGGGGGTCGACGTCGTGAACAACATCACAGCGTCGGGGGTCTGCAGGTCCTCGACCCCCGATCCCCGCGGCCCCTCCTCCTCCTCCTCCTCCGCCTCCTCTCCTCCTCCTCACCCTCCTCCTCCTCCTCCTCCTCCTCCTCCTCCTCCTCCTCCTCCTCCTCCCTCCTCCTCCTCCTCCTTCTCCTCCTCCTTCTCCTTCTCCTTCCCCTCGGCGCGAGTCGGATACCCTGTAGGCACCCCCAAGGAGGGGGTCCGAGTGGATTTGGTCGACGGATCGCGCGGCGCATCGCCGAGGCATCGCCGATGCGGCCAGGTGCGGAGCCAGGTCTTCTCCGCGCGGACGTCGCCCGTGCATCGCCCACGCCGCCGATGCATCGGCGATGCAGCGCCAGTGCACCGTCGAGGCGGCGCGATGATGCTGCGGCCCTCTCTACTCGGACACCGGTTAGGAGGCTTCGAGATACACATGTGGCCGCATGTGCTTCCAGCGCTCAGCTCTCGGGCGGCCAGGTCCAATGACCGTCGGCTCTCCCAGTGTCCGCCCGTGGCCTCCGTGTGACCCCCCTGCGGGTCAGGTCGTGCTCCAGCTTGCTGGCAGGACGTCGCCTCGGCGTCGAGGCCGAAGCAAAGCATAGGGTGAGACAACCCTGCGGATTGATTCGCATGACGCGTCTTGCCCACCCTGGCCGAAGGCTGTTTTAACACCCGAAGGCTTGTGTGTCGTAGCGAGCGCCGTGAGGAGTAAGGGTTCTCGTTTAGGATTAGGGATTAGGGCTCGGGTTGAGGGTCAGGGTCTTGGCCGAAGGAGTTGTCGAAGGATGTTTGAAGACCCCCCCCCGGTGCTCTTCAGGTTTGTCCAGATTTGAGTAAGGAGATCTTCAGGGGCACGTGAGGAGTCTTGCAGAACCCTTGGGTCCTTGACGGGTGTCAAGGTCTGGAGGGCTCTGCAAGACCCATGGGGAATCCAGCAGAAAGGTTCCTGTGGGGTCCTGCCAGACCCTCCAGGGAGTGCTTGATAAGTTTGAAGGTCTTAGGGTTTCTCTAGGTTCCTTTCAAGTCGGAGAGGAGTTCATAAAGAACCACTTCTTTCATATGATAGGTGGGATCGGTGCTAGTTGGTTTGAAGTGAACCGTTCTCGGCTCAACACGTTCTTGCCTGTCGGCCGGCGGTGTACATTCGTGTTTATGCTCAACCTCGGCCTCTTTTCACCCGCGGTCCTCGCTCACCCTCGCCTGTAAGCCACACCCTCAGTTCTGAGTCTCCTCTCCATCGCTCCGTCAGTCGTCCAGACGCCTTCTGCAGCCTGGAGGACGCAGCGCGATCAATCTGGAGGGATCGGGCTTGCCGTGTGACTGTGCGGCCCTCCTGGATCCCCGAAATTGCTGTTCCAATGCCAGCCCCACCTCCCAAACAACAGACACTGTACGTGGCAGGACTGGTCCCGCCCACCGTGCCCACGAGAACCATGCAGTCACGAGGGACCCACCGAATGAAGCACTCTGCGAACGCCCGCCCAATTGTGTTGCCTGGCAGGTGGTGGTGCCCGAGAACACAGACTTGGCGCCGAACATGCTCCTGGCTTAGGTTGCCATAATCGCGCCGCACCGCCGGCTGCGAAGTGCCCGCCGAGGAAAGTAGATGGTCCGTGTATGCGCGTTTCCCCGATATCCTAGGATGGGGGTCTGGTTAGTTGTGGCACACTCAGACTCGACTCCGCTCAGCAATATTCAGGTCCCAGCGTACTCTGCTTAGTAGTACTCAGACGTACCCACAATGAGTCACTCACGATTCTGATCACTCACACTCAGGCTGACTTAGACTCCGACTAGATGACACTCCTACCCATGGACATCCAGGCACACTCATGGTAAGACTCGCTAGCAGACTCGCTCATACATAGACTCACTCACACTCGGACTCCTGCGGACACACTCATACTCAGACTACCCACACAGCTAAATACAACCCAGACTACTTCATATTATGTTTACTCATGGTCAGACTGCTCACACACACATACTCACATCCACTGGTGCTCAGGCCAACTCATGTTCATAACCACTCATACTCATACACCGCGCAGTCAAATCTAGCCATGGCCAGCTTATTCAAGTATACTGAGCATCATACACAAAGATCCGCAACACCCTGATCAGTCACAGTCAGACCCTCTCACATTCAGGCTCACACACAAACACACCCACATGTTGTCAGTGGGATTGCCCTGCCGTGTGGGGGAGTGCCGAAATTGGCGATTGCCGTGGCGTGGCTTATGGTGGTGGTGGTGGTGGTGGTGGAAAACAGGCCCATCATTTTCCCCGTGCCCATTCTGGACGTGCCAAGAGGTGGGTGGACGTCTCGCACGAGCCTTCCGTCGCCAGTTGCGGCACGAGCGGCCGCGCTGGCCCAGAATCGGCCCATCCTTGAACGATCTGCCCTTTTCGAAGGGGCCGATCGCTCAAGTTTGAACGACCCCCGGGGTGTCAGGAATCGACACGACGCGAACCTGCCGCACGCCGCTTCCCGTCCCCGGGTGGATTCCCCTTCGTCCAGCCTTCCGGTCAGCGCAGGCCCGGCCACGGGTCCGCCCACCGTTCCCCCTCCGCGCGGCCCTGGTCGGTGACCCAGGCGCCGAGCACCGGACACCCCGCACAGGCAGACATGGATCTGCTGGTGGCTCTCATATCTCGTGGGGCTCCCTCGGAGTACGCGCCGTCCCTCGCATCCCTCCTGCGAAGGGCCAGCCCTGAGAGGCCCGATAGGGGTTGCTCGAAGGGGTCTCCGGCGTGGGGTGGGCGGGAACTGAAGTCCTTGGGCAGCGGGGTCTCCGCTGCTTGAGGCCGGCGGCCAAGTGGCGGTGGTGCCGGTGGCCGTGTCTCGGGGCGGCATCTCGAGGCACCTCGCAACGGCGGCGCAGATGTGACGCTTGGGGCGGGTCTGTGCCGCCTTTCATGTTGCGAGGTCCGACTGCATGCGAATTCACGCAGGCACCTTGGGCACCTCCCTTCGGGTTGTGTCGCCCAGGTGTTCCTCCCCCCGTCCCGGAGATGGCACCCTCTTTCTGCCAAGGTGCCCGTCTGACCGGATGGAATCACGACGCCGTGCCTGGCGGTAGGTACGGTCGTTTTTTTTGTCAGCGTATCGCGCCGCCGCTTCTGGTCCACCACGCTGCGGCGCGACACGCCAGGCGCGTCCCGATTGCCCAGCGTCAGCGTTTGGAGCTCTTCACGGCCTCCCGCCCGCGACGCGGAGCGACACGCCCTCGGGCTGCATGGCCTAACGTGTCGCCGGTGCCGCCGCCGCGACACGCTAAGCAAAGAGTTGCCGGCCGCACTTGCGGAGTCAATTCTCCTGGACGCTCTGGGCTATGCGCGATTCACGAGGATTCCAGGGTCCCTTGATGATTTGGAGTGCCCGAACACACACACACACAAACACACACACACACATTCACACACACACACACGCAAACACACACACACACACACTCGCACACACACACACAGACACACACACACACACACACACACACGCAAACACACACACACACACACGCACACACACACACACACACACACGCACGCACACTTTCACACACACACACACACACGCACACACACACACACGCAGCTGCTGGTCTCTTGCATGGCGCAGGACTGATACATGGTATCGGGTCCCACGCCATGCCATGTGGCCAGAGGCGACCGATCGGAAGGATGCCTTTGCCAGCTGGTTTGAAGCTCCTGGCGAGATCGGGCTGCGTGCGTGCACCCCCAGGGCCTCCCAGAGCCAACGAGATCTGCCAAACGTCGGCGAGATTTGCCAGACCTGCTGATTCTCGGATCGCATCGAGGCCCTGGTGATCTTAAGTCACCGCCTGGCAACGCTTACGGCCAAGGCGCCGAAATAAGGACCACGATCGTTGGACCACCCCGAGAAGACCGCCCGATCGGCGTATGTTTTGGAGGGAGGGGGAAAGGCTGCCCGGGCGCCGGGGCCAAGGTCGCTCTCCCAGGCGCTGCTGTGTTCGCCCAAGGCGCTCAGGCGCGTCCGCAAGCTGGTGGCAGGGCGTCAGGACGCCGCGCGCGCGCGCCCCCTGTATTGGGCACCGACCTCCTGAGAGCGCTGAGGTTGGAGGCGGTCCAGCACTGGTTTCGGCCAGCAAGAAGCGAGGAGGAAGGGGCCCCCCTCGTCGCCCACAGCTGGACGCGGTGTGAACATTTGGTCCGTTTCAACCCCGGGAGGAGTGCCGGGACCGATCGTGAGCGAACTTGTCCTCATCCCCCTTCTGTTGGCCGATTGCTTGGGGGGCCTATCCGGCTCAGACCCCCCCAACCGCCTTCAACGTTGATGGCGTTGTTTTTGCTTCTCCAGCTCAGACCACCTGACCGCTTTCAACGCTGACGCCGTTGTTTGTTTCATTTTGGGAATCGGTGTTTTCCATGTGTGGCGGGCGCAATTGTTTTCTTACGTCTTCCGAGCGGAGAAGAGCAACGCCCCCCCCCTTTTGTAAGAGCGTTGCCTACTCCCTCCCTCCTCGCGGCGGCGAGCGAGAGGGGGAAGGCAGAAGGAGATGACCTTCTCAGCAGGCGGCGGGACTTCTCGGAAGCCCCCGCGCCTCTTGAGGAGTGTTCCGTGTCGTGGGGGCAGGCTTAGCAAACCGTTCAGAAGGCCTGGGGATTTCCGAGTCTTCTGGGAAAGTCAGCGGATCGCAAACATGGATCAAGGGGGCGTGGATTAGCGACGGGTCCCGTTTCCAAGGGGAATCGCTGATTTCTGCCGCCGAACGAGGCATTTCGGGGAGGGCACCTCCCCCGATCCATGGAGTTGGCGACCGCGCGCCAAATCCAATGGATCGTTAATCCATGCTTGCGCGCCCCCGAGAAAGCCGCCCCTTCTCACTTTCCCCTCGCGCTCGCCGCCGACATCCTCGTCCCCGTCCTCCTCCCGACCGAGCTCCACGTCGCCTTGCTGCACGGGCCAAGGTTTCTCGCCTGCGGGCTCGCCGCCATTGCAGGGCGGTTATCTCGCGTGGCTCCGCTCTTGCACGGTGCACCCTTGCCTTTCTCGGGCACCAGCGTTCGTTGAGGAGGGAATGGGCAACACACACGCGCTCTGCAGACGATGATTTTATGCTCGGCCAAGACTCTGCTGCATTGGCTGTATCCTTGCTTGCTCAGCGAGCTCGATCGTTCGGACAAATCGAGTCTGGGCCTCATGGGCCTCGAGCATGGCCTCGGGACGGTACAACGTTTGGAGGTTCTTGCTTGCACGGTGCACCCTTGCCTTGCTCGGGCACCAGCGTTCGTTGCGGAGCTCGATCGTGCGGACAACATAAGTCCTGGTTTTGTGGGCCTCGAACATGGCCATGGCACGGTGGAACGTTTGGAAGTGCTTGCTTGCATGGTGCACCCTTGCCTTTCTCGGGCGCCAGCGTTCGTTGAGGAGGCCGATCATTCGAACAAAATGGGCCTGGACCTCGTGGGCCTCGAGCATGGTCTCGGCACTGTGAAACGTTTAAAAAGCGAGTCTGGGCTTTGTTGGCCTCGAGCATGGCTTGGGCACGGTGAAACGTTCGGAGGTTCTCGCTTGCATGGTGCACCTTGCCTTGCTCGGGCACAAGCATTCGTTGCGGAGCTCGATCGTGCGGACAACATGAGTCCTGGCTTTGCAGGCCTCGAGCATGGCTACGGCACGGTGAAACGTTTGGAGGTTCCAACGAGCGGGGTGAACTTTGCCTTTCTCGGGCACCAGCGTTCATTGAGGAGCTCGATTGTTCGGACAAAACGAATATGGGCCTCGTGGGCCTCGAGCATGGCTTCGGCACGGTGGAAACGTTTGGAGCATCCGGCGACAGGGGTAGGATCCAAATTGACAGTTGGTCATCCCCGTCCAAGGTTCTTGGCGTTTGCACAGCACAGTTGTTCTGTACCATTAGATGCGCCTCTGTCGAAGTCGTGACAACTCATCTTCGCAACCCTCTCGCATAAGTGTGATGCAGGCTTCGCTTCGGCAACCTGGATCCGTCACGTGATGCGATTCTGAGGATGAGGGAGGGAACGTCGCCTCACGTGACGAAATCTCCCCCTGCCCATCAGGAGGACAGAGAGTCCTCCCAAGTTGATCGAATGCTTGTGGCTCACAGCGTTGCGTCTGCGCTGGCTGGACCGCTCCGCTTCGGCGGCGTGTCTGTCGCCCTCGTGCCCACGTCGCATCCGAATGTGTGTGTGTGTGTTCATGCAGATCTTGCTTGCTCTGCCTCCCATGGCCAGCTTGCCATCCCGAGTCGTGCCCTGGCAGCTCCAGAGAGCCCAGGACGGGCTCCCAAGGGGCTCCTGTGGCGCCAAGAGCTGGCCGCCTCCACTTCTCTGTCCGAGGGGCCGGGTGTCAGGGAGAAGAAGAGGAAGAGGAGAAGGAGGAGGAAAGAGGAGGAGGAGGACGACATGTGCAATCCCAAGACTCATCAACGATGTTGGAATACACCCTTCCTCCAAGCTACCTCCGCACAAGCCCCTGCAACGGTCGCCAGGTCGGACTTCCTGGGACTTCAACTCCGCGAATCCACTGAAACTCTTACAACTGCTTGAAACGAATGTGCGCGGCGCTAAGGCCAGCGCCACAGTTTGAGAAGAAACCACCCTCAATATGTCAAATGTTTGTCAACGATCAAAATGAAATGTACGCGGCGCCCATGCGAGAGCCACAGTTTGAACACCACCCGCCCACAATCCGAGAAACTCTAGCAACATGTTAACACAAGTCTGCGCGGCGCCAAGGCGCGAACCACAGTTAAAAAACGACGTGTCTTCAATCCTTGAAACTCTGGTAGGCGCTCGACACGAAAGTGCGCGGCGTCAATGCCAGAGCCACATTTCGATAACCACCCGCCCCCACTAGTGAAACTTCTGCAACTGTGTAAGGCGAATGTGCGCGGCGCGATGGCGGGAGTTACATTTTGGAAGCGACCCGCCCTCCATCTGTGAAGCTGTTGCCAGTGTTTCAGCTTCAGGCTCATCAGCGTCAAGGAAGTCCCAGGCGAAACGCCCAGCCTGTCATTCCGACTGGCCTCGGGGTACGCCAGGGAGGAATTATTCAGAAGAGAAAGGGGTGGAGGAGGAGGAGGAGGAGGAGAAGGAGGGGGAGGAGGAGGAAGAGGAGGAGGAGGAGGAGGAGGAAGGAGGAAGGGAGGAAGGAGGAGGAGGAGGAGGAGGAGAGGAGGACGACGAGACGAGGGAGGAGGAGGAGGAGGAGGAGGCCGGGGGAGGGGGGGGGGGAAAGAGGAGGGAGGAGGGAGGAGGGGAGGAGGAGAAGGAGGAAGGGGGAGGGGGGAGGGAGAGGGGAGGACGAGGGAGAAGGGAGTGGGAGGGAGGAGGGAGGAGGAGGGCGAGGGAGGGGGGAGGAGGAGGGCGAGAGGGGGAGGAGTCCTGCCCCGTCCGGGCGGGGGGCAGGGGGTGGCGGGGCAGGCGGGCGCCCAGGCCTGCGTCGTCCCCGACACCGTCACCGCGGCCGAGCTGCGGCTCTGCGGCCAGCTGGGCCTGCCCATGTTGGGCCCAGCTTCGCGGACTGCCCGCGCCCTGGCCGGGGGCACGGCGGGGCGGGTACCGGGTATCGGCGGCCGGCGGGGCGGGCACGGGAGGGGCTTTCTGTCGAGGTTGGAGGCGTTTTGCGGTTGTGTTGCCGCTGTCCTCCTCCTGCTCCTTCTCCTCCTCGTCCTCGTCCTCCTCGGCCTCCTCGTCCTCCTCCTCCTCCTCCTCCTCCTCCTCCTCCTCCTCCTCCTCCTCATCCTCCTTGATGTGATTGACAGTGCAGCTCAGCATCCCCCCGCGACATGACCACAAGCATTGCTCCACCCAGCGGGTGTGGACAGAGGACGCGCTGAATGCACACAGGGCAGTTGGCGACCTCAAAAAGGAGCGGGTTAAAGGAGGGCGCTCGAAGCGACAAAACGCGTGCTCACCTCGGGGGCAGTGCAAAGGGGAGGGGACCACCCTCGGCGGCGAAGTCTGGAGCCTACCTTCGCCGATCAACGATACAGTCAGCTTTATAAACAGCGGGGATAGGATTCAAGATTCGTCGGACACGTGGCGAAATCCGAGCCCTGCCCCCGCCTCCCAGCAGTGCGTGAGAGTCGATGGTCGGTGGGGGGTCAGGGCCCAGAGGTCGCCGCCCATCAGCGCCCCGGTTTGAACAGGTCGACGGCGCACCTCCGCAGAGGCGTTGCTGACGCGGCCGGCGGCCTCAAGACACCGGCGGTTTGACAGCAGGGCGCTCAGGGGCGTGAAAGCGCGGGCACGCCGCGGGCGCACCTTGGGGCGACCGCCCTCGGACGGGGTCAGGGCGAGGAGACATCCGCTCCAGAGCATGCCGGGACACTCCCAGAGCGTGCCGGAACGCTCTGCGAGGAAGGCCGCGGAGCCGCCCGAGACTGCCTCCAGAGCCGCCGGATCCCGGAGGTGCTCGAGGTGTCCTCGCCCGGTGTTGACTATCCTCGCGTGCGGGCCTCGCAGGACGCCCCAGGGCCCGGGGCACTGGCGTCGAGACGGGTTCTGTGTCGAGCCGGGCGTTGTGCCTCGATCTCGGCCTCGGGGGCCCGCTGATCCCATAGGGGGCGAGAAGCCTGCCTGCCCCGGGGAGGGGTCGGGGGATTCGGGACCTCTGTGGGGCCGCGCACTCGAGGCACACATATCGCCGGATGTCTGGAGTCGGCTACGCGTGAACCCCGACCTCCTCGCGCTTATCACGACGGGAGGTTTGTCGCCATTTTCGGTCTCTGGGGTCCCTTCCCGGGCCTCGGGACCGTCGAAAAACGACTCAGGGTAAAAAGCCGGTCCCGGGGAAAGGATCCATACACCTGGTGCTCGACGTTGTGAAAGAATCAAGACGTCGGGGGGTTGGGAAGAGTGACCCCTGGCCAGCGTGGACCTTTGGTGCGAGCTCCTCGGGGCTTCCCCGGGTAGCGGAGCGCGACGCGATAATTAGCGGCTGCTCGCGCGCTGGGATTTGGTCACCTTGCGCCCCTTCAGTCCGCGCACCAAAGGTCACTCTTGCCCAGGGTCACTCTGGCGTGTCCCTGAGATCCGATGTTGCAAAAGAGAAGAGAGAGAGAGAGAGAGAGAGAGACAAAAAAAACATAAAATCACGCCCGGACCCCCGGAGGGTCCCAGGTCCCGAAATTGAGCGCAAAGGCCAGTTGTCAAAGAACTGAAACACCAGGATCTCAGGCGTAATCCGCCGATGGGCAAGGGGGGTGGTCACCCCAGACGCTCCCGCGCCGTGGCAACACCGCGACGAAAGGTTCTCTGCTATTTTTCTCGGTTCCGCGCTCCCTTGTGGCGGGCCCCGAAGCCGTCACGCGAGAGACTCGCAACGGGAGGCGGGCCCCCTGTCTGGGGGTCGAGGCCCTTGGGCACAGGCTGTCAAAAAGGTCACGCGCTCGGGGGTCTGGGGCTCTGTGGGCCCCGGAAACGGCAGGGCCGTTTTTTTCACCGTTTCCCAGAAAATGCCCCCTGAACATGGAAGCCGCAAAAAAATGGCGACCGGAAACGGCAGCAAAAGACGGCTCCAGGATTGGAACCGGAGCCGGGACCGGTCAAAAAACGGCGACGGAACCGGTAACGAAAACGGCGTCGGAACCGGCAAAGAAACGGCAAAACGGAACCGGTTAAAAAACTGCCCTGTCGTTTCCAGGGCCCACTAAGGTCTGGGGCTAGGGGGTGTGCCAGCCAGTCAGGGACCAAGGAGGTCAGTGGACAACTCGGGGGTGGTCAAGGGAGTACAGTCGGACCGAGGTTTAGGATCGAGACGCCGGTTCGGGGAGGGTGCCCTATTGTCCCCCGTGTTTGTTGGATGTTTTTATGTGCATCCTGGGGGAGGGTACCCTCGAATGCTCTTCATGCTGGTTACTCTTGGAGGATGTTATTATGTCCTAGGTCCGACTGTATCTGTGAGGTTGTGAGGGTGCTGAGGAGTCCTTCTCGAGGAGGTGGCGGCGACCTCAGTGGTGGCTTCCCTCGGCAGTGCGCTGCCTGTGGCCACCACGAACAGGGTTTGAGGAAAGGAGGTTCGAAGATCGAGGGTCGCGTTGTTGTTGCGTGTCCTCGCCGTAGACACGCTAACGGCGATGTAGGTAACGGCGATGTAGGTTTCGGCATTTTGGGAACGTGTTGCTCGCGCTTTCCTACAATTCGCTGTGTCGTTTTCGTTCTATACCTTTGCATATTGGAAATGTAGAGAAAAGTGTGGATCGTGGTTTCCTATAGGGTGATTCCAGCATGACCGTCAATCAACATCGCCGTTAGCGTGGCCTTGGCCTCACCGCCACGGCTGGACTTCCCTCCCGAGATCTCCTGGTCAAAAGACGCGCGCCCGGACAGGTCCGGGGTTGTTTTTTTTGTCCTTGCCTCCGAGCCCACAGAGCGTGCCACGAGTGGAGCCCCGACCTCCGACGTGTCGTGCTTTTTTCTTTCGTTTCAAAGCGTCGACCCCCAGAGGTCGATGGACCCATTCCTGGGGACCGCTTTTCTCTCTCACTCCTCGAGCAGGAGATCGACCACAGAATTGATGTATCCCAGACTTGGTTTCCACCATCAAATATACGACAACTACGTAGATATACGCAGAGCTGTCGGAGAGGACTCGTAGATTCGTAGTGAAATTCGATTTTGGGGTAAAACAGTTCTCTAGTCAACCTCCTACTCGAACTCCTGGTGGCCAGATCGCAGCGCGCGAGCAGCCGCCAGTTCTACCGCGTCGCGCCCCGCGACCCGTGGGAGCCCCGAGGCGCTCGCACCGGAAGGCCCACGCTGGCCAGGGGCCACTCTTCCCAGACCTCCGTCGTCGTGACTTTTTCACGGCGCCGACCCCCAGAGGTCTGGGCCCCTTCCCGGGGACCGGTTTTTCTCCTCCCGAGTCGCTTGCCGACGGCCCCGAGGCCCTCAGGGGAGGCCCCCGGCGGCCGAGGGATTGCGAAGGACCTCCCGCCGTGTTTCCTTTCGCGACGCGAGGGGGTCTGGGAAGAGGGCCATTTGGCGGCGCGCACAGGGGGGTAGGGGGAGGCGGGAAGGCTTCTTAGAAGCACCCCTGCTTCTTAGAAGGCGCGGGCCCTGTCTACAAATGTAAGGCCGGCGCCTTCCAAGAAGCAGCCTCCTGCTAAGAAGCCTTCCCCCCTCCCCCTACCCCCCTCTGCACGCCGCCAAGCCATGGGGGGAAAGGGGTCCCGAGATGCTCTTCTGTGCTCGGCATCCTGGATCCCTTATTGGACCCCAGTGGGCTGCTTGGGAAGCTGCTCGGGAGAAAAGGGCCAGTCCTGAGAGAAGTCCTGGCGGCCATGGTCCTGGCGACCATGGTGATCGTTGTCTTATTCATGGTTTTGCCGATCGGCGCAGGCCCTCGCACCCCGCATCGCCCCATCCCTCATGGATCGAAGAAAGAAAGACGCCGTAAACATAAACTATTGGCGCTCCGCGCGGACTCCTTGGATCCACTAAGGGCGCCATTTTTTGTATGTTCAGGGTGTTGTTCATGGAGTAGATCTTGGCTGTTTTTGGCGCCTGTTCTGAGCAGGCTGAGTCTCCCCCAAATGATTCACAGTTGCAGACAGCCACATCGAGCAGAGGTCCGTTTCCAGACCCCCCCCCCCCTCCACCCCCCCTCCGCCCAATGCGGGAACGCCGACCAAGAAATCGCTCACATGATCCGTTTCTCGCGGGCCCGTCTTCTAGAGTGTTACAGTGGGGGCCCATGCCAAGAAACACCCTGCTTGCCTCACGGGTGCCCTGGGTTTCGTGAGTCTCGATGGTTTTGCGATGGAGAGCGCGACGTTCCCACACCAAATATCGATGGAAGCCCTGGGGTCTCAGGGTCGGATTTATTGTGGAATGTTCCTTGCGGTCGGGCCACCACCGTATCGTGCCCGAGAGTCTCTCCTCCCTCCCTGCCTGTTCCTCCTGCTCCTCCTGCTATTCCTTCTGCTCGAGCCCATCATCTACATCAACAGCTTCAGCAGCATCTTCACCATCATCATCACCATCACCATCACCATCATCATCATCATCATCATCATCATCAGCAGCAGCAGCAGCAGCAGCAGCAGCATCGTCGTCATCATCATCAGCAGCATCAGCATCAGCACCGTGCGCCTTGACGCTGAAGGCGCTCGCGTCTTCGTGCCCGAGGAGGGCCCGTCGAGACAGCGGCGTGTCTCCCGCCCTGCCCAAGCGCGCTCGAGATCGGTCCCCCGACCCCCCCCCAGGGGCGATCCTCGCTGCCTGCTCGAGGCGCATCCAGCCGTGGCGGCGGGAAGCCTCCAGGTAGGCCCACATGAGCGAACGCACGCCAAGGGAGGCCGCCGTTCTCGGAGCCGCTTGCTGTGTGGTCCTGCGTTGTCCACATCGGTAAGGGTTGGTCTCGCCGGGTCACCAGCCAACGTACCCGTCAGTGGAGTCCCCGTGTACAGTCGGGGCCCTGAAGAAGGAACCTTTTTGGTTGGGGAGGGGCCCCGCGTTCCTTACGTGTTTCACAGCTTGTCTAAGGTTTTCCTTATGTTTTCGATCGGATATCGAAGTTTAACTTATGGAAAAAAAGGGGCCTCGTTCCTTATTTAGGGTTCCTTAGGTCAACGCCCCGACTGTAGGGGGGCGCTGGATCCCCTGGCGCTTCCCCACGCACCAGCGAGGGCCAGCGCCGATCCACAAGAAGGCCGCGCGGACTTCCGAGTGTGTCTGGTTGCGCGTTGTGTCGCCGTGTCTTCTCCCGCTCGCTGCGCGAGGGGCACCGCCCTCCTCTCTCTCCTCGAAGGCCGACGCCGAGCAAGAGATCCGCGTGGAAACACCGCCGCGGAGGAAATCCGCGGGGATGTCCGAGAGTTTCTGGCTACCCCTTCGCTGCGCCAGGAACACCGCCCTCCTCTCCTCGAAGTCCAACGGCAAGAAGCTGGCCCAGCTCGCGGAGGGGAGCGGCCCGAGGGGGGGGGGGTGCGGCAGCGGGGTGCGGCTTGTTTCTGCTGGGAGCGGCGTCCTCGCTTCGCAGTCCCGCTGCGGGGCGGGGGGCAAAGATCTTCGCGACTGCCTCGGGCAACACGCTCAGGATCTCTGGCTCGGAGTGCCGCCGCGCCGGTTTCTGGCCTGCCGCGCTGCGGCGCGACGCGCCGTCCGCGCCCCCGCTCCCAGGCTGCCACGCCCCGCGGTGCTCCCAGCCTCCCGCCCCGCGAAGCGGCGCGGCACGCCGTCCGCTCACGGGGCACAGCGTGTCGCCGGAGCCGCGTCCACTGCAGGCTCTGCGAGCGTTCCCGACCGTGGCGTGCGCGAGCGCCGAAAGAAGTCGTTGCTCTTGGCCGCAGGCCGGTCTGCCGCGAGCGGCCGGCGTTTTCTCTTCGTTGGGCAGGGGCACGCAGAGAGTTGCAGCAGGTCCTGGGGGTGATTCGGGGGTTCCGGCTGCAACATCGCCCGCACGGAATTACAATCGAGCGCGCGCACGCATATGATAGAGAGAGAGAGAGACAGTGAGAGAGAGAGAGAGTGCGGGCGTGTTTGTTTGTTCTTGTCGCGCCCCCTCCTCAAGCGCATCCTCCTCAGGTTCGCGCAGCAGGTTTTCGGGCCCAGGGCAGGGCAGTCCTACTGCCCGCGCAGCGATTTGAAACTACGAATGGGATTCGGGTCGTCTTGCCAAAGGCAGCCGTATACTGTAGATCCAGGCAGATTATTGAGGACGAAGTTCATACCATGTTTCCGTAATCGACTTTGAAGTATCAATATTTGCAGGTTCTTTTGCATGGGATGGCGTCCATGTGTGGTTTAGTATTACTTCTGGTTACGATGGCTATCATGGTGCTGAGAAAGAAATCGTGATGAAAGTGGTGATTGGCGTTTGCGATGAGGGTAAATGGGGATGGTCTTGGTGATATGAACGAGGATGATATTGATACTAGTGGTGAGTGCGGTGGTTGTGACGACGGCGATGAGGATGACCGTGGTAACAGTGAGGCGATGGTGCATTTCGACGGTGGCAGTGTTGACGACGATGATGGCAAGCCAATAGATGAACTCACGTGTCCAATAACTATTCTGCATTGCTACATATTTGCTTGCTCCGTTTGTACCCGTTCCCCTCTTTTCCCTCCCCTACTCTCTTCTCAATTCCCCTCCCCGCCCGAGCCCGTCTTAACAAACCCCCTCACATTCCATCCGTTACTCCTTGCTCCTTCCCTTCCCCTCCATCTTCCCTCCTTCGTTTTCTTCCCATCCCCCCCTTCCTCCCCCATCCCCGCTCTCATGCCTCGCCTCCCTGCCTCCCCCGCCCTCGACCCATGCTCTTCCTCCTCTGCATCCCCTGTCTATCTCCTTCCGCCTCTCAACCCTGTCTGTTCCCCCTCCTCCTCACAGTCCTCCTGCGTCTCCCCACCCACTCCTCCCATTCACTGCCCCCATCTTCCTCGCTGCCCCGCGGGCCCCTGGAGCGTACATCGGCGATCCTCGGCCACGCCTGCACGGGGGAGGAACCGGGTGATCACGAAGGTTGCACCCGCGGGTGGACCGCGAAGGCAATCTCAGGCATGCTCAACAAGGCCTGGCACGATGAAAAAGCCCCTACTTGTTGACCACGCTTGAGGCCAGCAGCGCCGCCAGGCCGTGCAGCGCATCCCTGCGGGCACACCGTCGCACGATCTGCTGCAGACGGGTGCGCAGGCAAACATCTGCTGGTTGCGCCTGGCGCCTTCAGCCGGCGAGCGGCGCGAGCGGCGCGCGCTTCGTTCACCGCGCGTCGCACTGGCAGGGATCGCGCCGGCGGCCACGCGGGGCCGGCCTTGGGGGGGGGCCACAGTACCGACACCGCGACTCCCCGGACCTCTGCCCGGGCGCCTCCTGACCAGAACCTCGCGGAGAATCCAGCCATGGCGGCCAGGGACCTCCACGACGAGCGGCAGCATCGATAGTCGAACTTTTTTTACATACCTATATATATATATATATATATATAGATAATAGTTTTATATACATATATACACACACACATCCTCTGGGCAACGGACCAGCGGCACGAGCGGAGCGCGTGGCGCGTGGATGGCCGCGCGGCGCGCCGGCGCGCGCGTGCGCGGCGCCTCGCCGTCGGGCCTGCGGCCGCGGCGGGGGCGAGCTCGGTCGGCGGCGGCCACCTCCTCCCGGGCGCCGGGCGGCCGCGGCAGGCCCCGCGCTCGGGGGCCTGCCGGCCGGTCGTGGCGACTCGGAGGCCGCAGTCGGCCTGTTTTCGACCAGGCGTAAGAGAGTGGCCCTTCGCCGGAGTGGCCCTTCGGTGCGGGCCCCAAGGGGGTCCCCAGATCGCCGAGCGCTGTGCGGTGGAAGCGTGTGTCTGGTCCCCCCGCGGCCCCCACAGAGCCGCGCACCAAAGGTCACGCTTACCCAGGGGCACTCCTGCGTGCAGCCGATGTTTCTCCAAGAGACCCGTGCGGCCGGACCGAGGCAGGAGGTCGAGGTCGGTTCGGGGAGGGTGCCCTCGTGTGATTCGTGGTTGTTGGGGGTGCTTGCGCATCCTGTGGGGGGGTGCCCTCTAGTGTTCTTCGGTTCGGCCGGCGGAGGGCTCGTGCTCTTGAAGGATGTTCTTCTGTGCTAGATCTGGCCGCATCTGGGGCCTCTGCCAAACACCTTTTCTCACCGTCTAGCCACGAGCGTCCACAGACACACTGGATGTCGCTGCGCATTAAAACCATTCGGGCTGGGCAACGCGGCCGTTGCATCCGGCGCAGTGCCAGATCGGAGACAGGGTCAATCTTTCCATTGTACATTCTTGTTCTAGAGCAGGTCCCACATGGTACTCCAAGTGGTGACCACACTGCGTAGCAAGTCGGTGGGAATTCGGGGTCACCGCGCGGTTTTTGGACTTGAGTCGACTCGTTTTCGGGGGGCGTCTCGGGCGACTGGGGCCTCCGAGGCCCGAAAACCGTGCTGTGACGGACTGCGCGGTGAGGTCACTCGCCAGGGAGGGGGCCCAGCGCAGATCCAAGAAACACGTGTGGAGCGCCAACAGTTTATGTTTGTAGCGTTTTTCTGTTACCATGAAAGCTATCCGTATTCCATGTGCCCGGGTAAGCTGACCACCTCACCGACCTTGGCCGGGGCCATCCTGGGCCAGGAGGAGGCTGGAGGAGCGAGGGGTAGCGTGGTCTGCCCCGGCAGGCCTCTCTGGCTCTTGGCGTCTGCCGTGGCAGTTCCTTGTCGTTGCTGCGCTCAGGCCACATCGCCTGAGGCGGGTCCAATTGTCTGGTCGCCTCACAGTCGCTACTCCCCGGCTCTTGTCTGCCAAAGCCAGAGACAGGCAAGAGCGAAGAGTCACGAGCAGGCGGGCTTTACGTGCTTCGCGCTGATATGTGTGGTGGTGCCGGCACTGCCGGTAAACTGCATGGGTGATGGCGTCACTTGCCGCCCCGCCGGACTGCCGGAGAAGGGGCGAGAAGGGGGGCACGGAGGAACCAGAGGCGTCGGCGTCACCAGGGAGCAGGCGGGTCGGCCATCCTGCCCGCCGCGACCAGGGCCTCCTCGTGCGCGCGGCAAGCAAGACGCTGCTTCGCCTCCCTGCGCTTGGCAGGCCTGCAGCGGCAGATGCCAGCGCCGGCCTCGGCGGCCCGTCTCCCGTCCTCGGCCCTCCTGGGCTTCCACTCTCCCCGTCATCCCGACGAGCTCACGTTGTCCCTGCGCGCCCCCAAAAAAGGTCCCGACCCCTTCCCCAGGGGTCGGTCTGTCGCTCCAGATCCATCTTTGGTGGCCCCAGGGCCCGATGGCGGGCCCCAGGGATCCAAATCGAGGAAGGCGCCGGATGAAAACAACAGAACAGAAATTGGCACAGATCTGAGCTCTCCTCCTCCTCCTCCTCCTCCTCCTCCTCCTCCTCCTCCTCCTCCTCCTCCTCCTCCTCCCCCTCCTCCTCCTCCCTTTCTCCTCCTCCTCCTCCTCCCTCCTCCTCCTCCTCCTCCTCCTGCAGACTCTCCAGCCCGGATCGGGGAGGAGCTGCCGACGGGGCCGTGGGCCGTGGACATCTACGACGAGGACGAGCTCCTCTCCTCGCTCGCGGGCATGATCGTGAGGCACCCCGACGTCCAGGCCCGCACTGCCGCCCGGCCGGGTCGAGGAGCCGGGCGTGGAGAGAACGCCCCCACCCAGAGAAGTCGACATGGGCATACTCTGAGTACCTCAATAGTTCTGGGCCCCCGGACTACAAGGGCCCCCAGGACTACCTTAAGGGCCCCCCCCCCGGACTACAAGGGCCCCCCCCACCCCCCGGAATGCAAGGAGCCCCTCCCGGACTACCAGGGTCCCGCCCGGACTGCAAGGGCCCCCCCTGGACCTATTGGTCAGAGTACCCCGACATGCGGCGTCTGGATTTTTTCACTGCGGGGCCCCTGGAAGTCCCGGCCCTTTCCCCGGGAGCGGTTTTGCATCCTGAGTGGTGTGTTTGACGGTCCTCAGGCCCAGCGAGGGCCCCACAAGGCCGCAAACGGCCGAACACCCGCCGTGGTGATTTTTGTTTACGACGCGATCATGTCTGGGTACGGGTGTGCTGGTGTAGTCCCCTGTCGTTGTTTGCTCCTCGCAGGGTACACTCGGTTGCTCCTGGACGTTCATGAGTGACTCCGCTCGGATGCACTCTCGGAACGCGGTGCCGCGCGCACCGGTGGGGTGTTCCAGCAGCTTTTTCGCACGGGTGGGGTGCTGAAGGCATTCCAGTCAATCCTTGAAGGAGGAGGGAGGCCTCCTCCTCTTCCTCCTCCTCGGTCGGTCGGTCGGTCGGTCGGTAAGGGTCGTAGAAGCTTGAAACCCTTGCTAAAATAAATGGCGAGATTGAAAAGGGGGACAGTGCGTCAGGAGGGTGAGAAGCGCAGTAGGCGGGTCTACACAAGCGACCAGCCGATCAACTCCGCAGCCCTCGGGGGCTCTTCAATCAGGCGGAAGCTTCACAGTGCTCTCCAAGAGAGGTCAACGTCATGCAACGCGCCGTAGTAGGATCACAGTCGATCGGCACACGAGTGGGAGCCTGACACTCGTGGTGCACAGCAAGAGAACAAAGGACAGCAGCCAGGGTGGTGGCGAGATGTTGGGAGACAAGAGACCTGTCAGTGCACAAGCTCCCCCCTCCCCTCGCAAGGTCAATATGGACGCTTTCCAATCGTCCTTGTAGGCCAGGAACATGGACGCCCAGAAATTGAAGGCGTCGCTCCCCAGTGGTACGCAAGGGGGCAGGGACCTGTCCTTTTTCCACTCCTGTTAGGCCATCAAGGTGAGTGAGCCAAGGGAGTGACCACCCTGAGACGTGCCCATCGAGAGTGGGCGGGGGGTGCAACCACACCAAGGGGACCCCAAAACTCCACGCATGCAGAGAGACAACGTGGGTCATCAAATGCGTGACGTTGTCACGCCTGACAAGCCCGTGGGTGTGCTCACCGAGGGTGGGGCCTCCAAGGGGGGTTTCCAAAGTACGAAGCTGGGAACGTGAGCCAGGCCAATGGGCAGGCCACATGGTGGGCAGGGAGGGGGCACAGAGGATGGCCACAAATTGCCCTGCTCGGATGGCGCTGTCGAGCTGCTCGACTTGTTGCCACCACTGATCCACCTGAAACTCAATTCGCACAACTCCAAATCTGAATGGGATGTGCCTGCACTCCTCCCTCCAAGCCTGCACGAGGGCACAATGGCAGTCACCTGGACTCGTGAGGACAAGCAGGAAGCGACTGGGGGGAGAAGGCAAGCGAGGCAAGACAAGAGGGGAGGGACTCCACGCAGGGGCGGGGGGGAGCGCCACAGGGGTCAGGGCCGTCCTAGGCGGCATGGGGGCGAACCACTTGGGTGCCACGGGGGGCCCACAGACTCTCACCGGCGCTCGGGTAGCGAACAAAGCGGGCAGGCCCTTCTTCCGATTGCCACTTTGCTGAGTCTTGGCTGCAGAACGTGCAGCATCCAGCTCGTCGGGGCTGGGTCTCTGGTTCCGATGCAGGAGGGCACCGAAACAGCGCTTGGCCGCAGCCAAGTGTTTGGCCAGACGGGCCTCATGATGGAAATCACGCATGCACACCTGGCAAACCGAGCCCACAGCAAACTCATAGGGCGAGTTGCCCTGCTTATGTTCCTTCGACATGTGAATACGCATGTCTTTGGCCGACGCCGCAGAGAAGGGACACTGAGCACACTGATATCCCTGGACAGGCGGAGTCGGGGGCGGGGGCTCCAAAGGGGTGTTACAAGAAACCGTCTTAACAAGTCGAGCGGCCAGGGTACAATCATGGGTGGTGCGGCACACTCGCTTGGACCGCTCAACCACCCGAGCGATGGCCGCCTTGTAGCGGTGAGGCGCAGCCCTCGCCATGTGAATCCAAGCCCTCAAGGGATCTCGGGACGCCTCAGGTTTCTCCGAAAGGTTCAAGAACGTGGAAGCCCACTGGATGCTGCTCCAGAGCAGCTGCAGCCACCCCGTGTTTTGATGCTGGGTGCAATCAAGTAAGACACGAAGGTAGGGAGGGGCGTGGGAGAGCAGGCGAGGCAGGTAACGTAGTCGGCAGATATGTAGGACGTGGTTAAGTGGGAGCCTGCACGCAGCCGCAAGGATCTCATCATAAGAGGTCTGGCAGTCGACCCCATTGTTCCTAAAGGGAAGTTTGAGAGCAGCCCTGTAAATGGCCTCATGTGCCTTACGCACTTTGGTATATTGCACACAAGTAAGAGAAGGCCACACAGACGCTGCATAAAGCAGCCTCGAAGCACCTAAGGCTTACGAATATAGGACCTTCTTAGGAATAGGGAGCTGGCGCCTAGGCGCTATGGCCTTCCTCACGGGACGGATGGCGCCAAAAGTGGCAGTGCAACGCAAATGCAATTCAGCGGCAATGGAGCCGTTGTCTTGAATCATGGCCCCCAGGCACTTCTGTTGCCGCACCACTTCCAAAGAGAAGCCAAGGTCAGCAGAGACAAGACGGGGGGGGTCAGCACCAAAGCATTCAGCACGCATAGTCATCGACTGCGGGCCTCTGAAGAAAAGCAGCACTTTGGTTTTGTCAGCGTTGGGCCTGAGCCCTCGAATGAGGCAAGCCCGAAAAGTGCTCTCGGCAAGCTCAAGCATGGCGGGGATCAATTCCCTGGCGTGTGGCACCGCAAGTCCTGCCGTCAAATCATCCACGAAGGAAACAGAGCTGTGCGGATGCTCAAGGTCCGCAGGAGTGGCGAGACATGGTTGCACTTCTGGGGGTTCCCAAACAAGTCCACGGACAGCGACCTCATTCTCAATGTCTTCCTGAATGCCAGCAAACACAGAGTTAAAGGCATCGGAGGCCATGATGGTCCCAGGACGAGAGCCAGTGCCAGGCAAGGCGATGGAGCTGGCACCAGGGACAAGCCAGAAGGAACCTCGCTGAGATTCCCTGAGCATCGCCGCCACAGCTGGAATATCCACTACTCTATCAAGCACGCCAGGTTCCTGCAGGGATCTCTTGAGACCCGTGAGGAGGACCTGGGGGATCTCCAAAGAACCAAGAGCCTCTTCCAAGAGAGCCTCTTCGCCTGGCAGTTGCATCGCCAGCTGTTTGATCATGGAATAGAAAGCAGCACGCAAGTCAAGGAACAAGAAACCTGTGCTGCGCTTGTGCAAATGTGCTGCGTCCGAGAGAGAGCGCACAAAGTGAAGGGCGCTGTCGCAAGATCGGCCAGGCAGTCCTCCTCCTCCTCCTCCTCCTCCTCCGCCTGCTCCTCCTCCTCCTCCTCCTCCTCCTCCTCCTCCTCCTCCTCCTCCTCCTCCACCTCCTCCTCCCGCTGTGAGCGCATCGAATAAGAAGTCGGCCTGCCGGCAGGTGCCCCAGGGAAGTGCCTTCTCCCCCGCATGGCCCCAGGGGGGCCCACAGAAGCTCACCTGGGAGACCTCAGGACCCTCGAAGGGTCGACGAGGATTACCCCCCCCAGGCGCCTCCTCCTTCTCCTCCTCCTCCTCCGCCTGATCCTCCTCCTCCTCCTCCTCCTCCTCCTCCTCCTCCTCCTCCTCCTCCTGGGACACCGACAGGACCCTCCCTCAAGCGTCGACGAGGATTGCCCCCCCCCCCCCCCAGGCTTCTTCTGGCGAGATGTCTGACCGTAGGTGTCTTGTGTGCCTACCCAGGCCGCCTCGCGTCGGGGGAGAGAGCTCGGCAAACAGCTCTTTTGGCAGCCTTCGGTCCTGAGGGGCCCTTGCGGAGTTCGCGGGAGTGTTGACAGAGCGGCTCGGGATGACCACAAAGACTGCTATCGAGTTGGGAGGATGGGGTTGGGAGAAATGACTCGGTCGCCCGTGTTATCGCGTATGTTTTATGTGCGTATGACACAATCGTGCCCTGTATCTTCCCAATCCCTTCCTAACAACACGATGCCGTCAGGCATCTGATCAAGAAGTACCACTTCCCGAGAAGCTGGGCCAGCGTTTCTTGGCCACCGTGCAGGAGAGCTGGCCCAGTTTCCTGGGCGCGTTCGCCCCTCCAGCGTTGGCACGAAAGGGTGGCCCGGGCATGTTTTGGGACACGCCTTGGAAGAGCTTGCCTGGACCTCTGGACTGAGATGCTTGTGGATCCCGTTTTCGGCTGCAGCCGTCTCCCGCCGATGAAGCCAAACAGGGGTCCTCCAGCGTTGGCACGAAGGAGTGGCCAAGGGCATGTTGTGAGCCACTTCCCTGGGAGGCTGGCCCCGACCTCTGAAAACTGAGATGCCTCTTGGTCCCGTTTTCGGCTGCGGCCGTCTCCCGCAGATGAAGCCAAAAGGTGTCCTGGAGGAGGGCCCGGGCCTTCGGGGGCCCACGCCGTGAACAAACCTAAGCGGCGCGGGGGGGGGGGGGGTCTGGGGAGGAGGGGCGTCGGAGGAGCGGGGGAGGACCGGAGTTCCAGCGGGGGTATCGGCTGCAGAACTGATTCGCCCCAAAGAGAGATGATTCCTTCGCCGACTCCACGCGAAGTGCGTCGGATGCTCGTAGCCCTTTGGAGCAGGCGGGGGTATCGGCTGCAGAACTGATTCGCCCCAAAGAGAGGTGATTCCTTCGCTGGCTCCACGCGAAGTGCGTCGGATGCTCGTAGCCCTCTGGAGCAGGCCCTGAGCCCGGCAGGGGCGACGGCTCTCCCCCGAATCGGGCCCAGCGCGGGAGAGAGAAGACACCCACCTCAGAGACTGCGAGCAGTCTGCCTACGCGTCTTGGCATCGCTCGGGCGTGTGCATATTTTTCCCTCGGCGAGGACCGTCGAGGAGCATCCTCGATCGTGCGGCGAGAAAAAGCCACGCACGAAACCGAACAAAAACACACAGGGAATGGACGTCCGAGCGACGGCGAGGCGCGGCTCGGCGAGGAGGCGACTTCTGGGGCACAATCCCTTCCGCAGTCGACCCCCCCTGCGCGACGAGCGGACCGCGGGGCCGCCGCGGGGCCGGAGGCCCCCGCCCGGGATCACCCTGCCATGGGCCCCGCGGTCGCCCCGCTCTGCTCGCCCCGCGCCCCTGCCTTGTCTCCGGGGAGGGGGAGGCCGCTCCGACGCCGCCGCTCCGCCCGCAAAAGCCTCGGACCCGCCTCGGACCCCGCCGCCGCCGCCGCCGCCCCCCCCAGCTCGCCCCGCTCTGCTCGCCTCGCGCCCTCCCTTCTCCGGGGAGGGGATAGGCCGCTTCGACGCCGTCTCGGGGGCCGGCGGCACTCCGCCCGCACCCCCTCGGACCCGCCTCTCGGGCCCCCGCCGCCGCCGACGCCCGCTTCCACCGCTCGGGCATCGAGAGGCGTGCCTCCCGACCCTGCCGGCGCCGCGCGCGGGGGAAGTCCAGGAGTGGGGACGACCGAAATGGGTACAGTGGGGGCGCGCATCAAGGAACCATATGCTTTTCGTCAGGGTGTCCTGGGTCTCTTCGCTCCGCGCGCTGCGCGGTGGCTTCGCGCGGCCGTTGGAGGAGCTGCTGCGTTCCGGGTGCTCCAGGCTTCCCATCGGGTGCACCCCGCGCGCGGGTTTTCAGGGTTGGGTTTCTTGCGGACGCGCACGCACTGTACGGAAATAATGGTTACGAGGACCGACAGCAGTTCACTTCTTGTCCATTTTGAACAGGGCTCGCGGTTGGTGTCGCCGCGGCCTGTGTCCCTTTGAGACAGAAGGCCGCCTGCCCCAAAGGCGGCCGCTGCTGGTTTGGGACAACATGTGTTGCTGGGCACTGCACCAACTTTTTACCCTACCCATTTCGGGCGTCCAAGAGAGGGGGTGGGGATCGCAAATCATGGCCCAGGGCATGTGTTTCAAGGGAGGAAAAACCACCCGGACCGGACAATTGGCGTTTTTAAGAAACGGCCCTGGGCATTCACTAAGCAGCCTTGCCCTGTTCGATTCCTTCTTTGGGCGCAGTTACTAAAAGACTTCGCGTGCCGGGGTGGCTATTATGGGAGTGGATGGTTGACTTCTAGTGCTCCGCGACCGCTCTCCTCCGTCCCTCCCAGGGGCTGTGGCGCAAAATTCGCCTGGCAGTGCCTTCGCCCGGGCTGCGAGCGCGCGCTGCGCGAGATCGCCATCGCCGTGGCGGAAACGTGTGCTACTCGTCTCGCAAGAGTGGCTCAGAAGCAGGTTCACGAGCCCAGAGCGGTTCCTCCAGCCGGGCTGCTCGTGGTCGTTGCTTGCATTCCCGCTCTCCAGCGGCACGAGGCGGGTGCCCTCCGTGCCGCCGCCGCTCCCTGTCCTCGATCCCGTCCCCATCCTCAATCATCTGTCTGTTTTCCTCGGCGGCGAGCGCGGGGGGGGGGAGCGAGAAGGGGCGGGCCCTCTCAGAAGGCTCGGGCGTCCCCCGGCCGTGAGAGAAGTTCCCGAAGCCTTCCCCGAAGACACGGACAAAATGTTCTCCGAGGGCGCGAGGGCTTCCGAGAGAGGCCCCGCCACCCTCCGAGAGGGCCATTCTGGTTCTCACTTCTCCCCCTGCCCTCGCCGCCGAGCCTCCTCCAGCCCCTTCTGCCTCTCGTCCACCCCCGCGTCCTTCCCCTCGCCCTCCCACCATCCTCTGCCCCCAGGCGCCTCTGCCCTCTCCCATCCTCATCGCTATCCCTCTTCCCCCTCCCCCATAGTTGATTCTGTTCCGACGTTCCCACGTCTGGTCATCCTTCTCTCCATCCTCTCCCTCCTCCTCCTCCTCCTCCTCCTCCTCATTATCATCATCATCATCATCATCATCATCATCATCATCATCATCATCATCATCACCATCATCCTCATCATCATCATCATCACCATCAGCACCGTCGTCACCGTCGTCGCCATTATCAACAACCTCATCCGCATCGTCAAAAGCATCATCACCAACATCGTCATCGTCATCGTCATCGTCATCATCACCATGACCATGACCATGTCCATGACCATCATCATCAGCAGCAGCAGCAGCAGCATTAACATCATCATGATCATCATCATCAGCAGCAACAACAGCATCATCCTCATCGGCATCATCATCCACCGCTCATCACACACCATCACCAGCATCACCACCACCTTCATCATCATCATCATCGGTATCATCAGCAGCATCATCTTCAACATCATCACCATCCCATCATGAGGCTTCGCCACCGTCACTTCCAGCATGCGCATCATCCTCACCATCACCGCCATCAGCAGCAGTATCAGCATGATCATCATCACCAGCAGCAGCAGCATCATCATCATCGTCGGTACCGTCATCAGTATCAACCTGCTTCCACTCCTCGTCGTTCTCTTTGTTCGCCTTGACGAAGCGGCCGCGTCTCATACTCTTCCCCTGGAGCGAAGGCTCTCAGTCGCACAATTCCTCGCATCCCTCGTCCTGCGAAGCCTCTGGGGCCCCAGGTGTGGCTCCTGAAGATCGACGACGAGAGAGACGGCCGCGGCCTCGCGTACGTGGACCTGGACGGGGCCGGGGGGGAGGCGCGTCTCCAGGGGAGGCCAGACACAGTGCCCCCCGGAGCAGGCGTGCCCCGAAGCGTAGGGGCGCCCATGGGATCCCACTGCCGGACGCGCCCGAGGGCGAGGCCGGCCGGGCGTTTCACGGATACAGTGGGGGCGTTGGTGCCCCTGCCTTTTCGGCCATTCCTTCCTCCTCCTCCTTCTCCTCCTCCTCCTCCTCCTCCTTTTCCTCCTCCTCCTCCTCCTCCTCCTCATCCTCCTCCTCCTCCTCCTCCTCCTCCTCCTCCTCCTCCTCCTCCTCCTCCTCCTCCTCCTCCTCTCGGGGCCCGGGGACCATCACAGATACAGTGGTGGCGTTGGTTAAGGAATGTGCCCGGGAGGCTTCAGACCCTGGGGGGGTCCTTATCCAGTACGGGCGGCGGTGATTTCCATGGCCGATACCCGATCGAGGTTCCATTGGCTTCCAGACCCCGCATTCCTAAGTTATCGAAGGTTGCCTTCTCCAATGCTACCACCGTAGAGAAGATGCAGCAAGACGGGTCTAGGGTTCTGGCCGTGTTTTTGTCGGCGATGATGCATTTTCTCTGGACATCGGATCTCAGGCACGTTCTGGCCCCCAAGCATCAATGCCCCGAGCTTCTCCCAGCCTCCCCCTCCAACGAGTCAGAGCGACACGCTGTCCGCTTGCGGGGAATCGCCGCCGCCGCGACACGCTAAGCAACCGTTCCTGACATCATAGGATGTGGGCCACGGGGGCGCCCGTGGGAATGTCACGGGGCCTGCTCAGTGGACCCCACGGCGCCAGTTGGTGGAAGTTCTTGGACAGCCTTGGGGCCTTTCTGGGCCTCTCCTGGGCGCCCTCGTGGCCAGATGCTGCCCGACCTCCGAAACCCTTTCCGTCGTGAAAGAAGATGCGACGAACGGTTTCGGACAACTGTCTACATCTGCATGCGGGGCCTCGTCCAGGCCCTGGGGCCGTCAAAGGATGGCTCGTGATCAGAGTCCGATCCGCGTGGAGGGGGGTCGAGACCTACCTCCAGGTGTCCAAGCTGTGGTCAGACCACGACATCGGGGATCTGGGCGCCCCTTGGCGTTCTCCCCAGTTTTCCTCCCATCAGGGGCAACATTTGGGGGGGGATGGGCTCAGGGGGGGAGCATCTACCCTTAAGTCGGGCATGTCCCTCAACAGGGGGAATATCCAAAAATAGTTAAAACATAGTCTGGGGGCGATGTTTCAAGTTCAGGCTGTTTTTGTTGCATATGTTTTGGCTATCCCTAATTTTTCGTTCAAGATCCGCCTGTACGAGGACCTGCCCGACCTAAATCTACCCTCGATGGTCCACTCATCGCCGAGAGGTGCCCGAGAGCCCGCCGCCCAGGACCATCTCTCCGGAAACCAACACAGTACTTTTAAGTCGTGCGTGTCCCTCTACAGGAGGAGCATTATCAAAAAATAATAAAAAGTAGTCTGGGACAATGTTTTACTACTTCTGTGTATTATTTTGAATATGTTTTGTGACTAAATTTATTGTTCGTCCGAAATCCGCCTGTAGGAGGACATGCCCGACCGGACCGCACACGGAAGCTGGCAGGAGTGACTGGGGCCGGCCTTGCCAATCTGTCCAGCCCTGGCCAGTTCCCCTCTGCTGCTTCCAGCCCCCTGGCGGCCGGCTCCCTACTGCTGCAGGCTCGTCTCGCCCACCTGCCAGTTTCCAGCCCTGGCCACTTCCACGTTCGCTGACTTTCCAGCTTCTCCTCCCCCTCCTCCTCCTCCCCCTCCTCCTCCTCCTCCTCCTCCTCCTCCTCCTCCTCCTCCTCCTCCTCCTCCGCCTAGTCGGCGCGAGGGGCTTAAGAATTTATTTCCGACCGAGCCCACACGCACAGAGCGCCCGCCGACTTTCGAGGGCCCCCAACAGCACCTAGGCCAGAGGGTGTTGAGGGGGGACCGCCGCCTGCGCCATGGTAGAGACTTCTCGCCCCTAGTGACGACGACAGCAGCGGCGACGACCATGCGCATTGTGACGTACAATCCATACTCAGCTAGCGGCAGCGAAAGATTAGAGGACATAAGCGTCGCTCTGAGAGACTGGGACATTATTATTCTCAGCGGGACGTACGAGTGGGCGGGACCAGAGAGCGTGAAGAAAACAGAACTACCACAACACTGGGCACTCAGGTTTGGAGCAAAAAAAGGAAAATGGGTAGCCAAAGCATGTGGAGTGTCAATTCTTGTCTCGAAAAGGTTCCCGCCCGAGAGTTTGCGCAGTACAAGTAGTCCGCCAGCACAGATACAGGGACGAGCAGCGGGCATACGATTACAGACATCCGAGGTAGACATTGCAGTGTTTGCTCTCTACCTGGCACCGACGCACTACAAAGAATACGCTACTATTGCCAACAGAATCATGAGTTGGACTGAGAGTGAGATAGACAAATTGGGCGCCCGTACTACTCCAATAGTAGGGGGGGATCTCAACAGTGACTTTGGACTGCACAGAGCACCTGACGGTATAGTACAATCAAGTGAAGGCCGACACGTAGGACCCTGCGACCCGAGGCTGGAAAATGATAACGGTAAAGAAGTGCGCAGGTTCTGCGAGAGGAATAGCATGAGCATAGCGACAACCTTCACTAGTATTGGGCCCACTTACTACGGGTTCCAGGGACAGGAGACCAGAATCGACCACATACTACTGCCGACAGGTGCCCGCACCATATCCAGTAAATGTGCCACACTACGAGCCATAGGCAAGAGACTGCAGCTACACAAGAGCAGATGGCACAGAGATCACCTACCCGTCTCAATCGACCTCCCCCTCCGACTAGGCGCCAACCTCTTCCCAGGCAGGAGACACGACGACAAAGGCGTGAACGCCGACCTGCTCATGGAGTGCTTGCGGAGGGGGAGGGGCAGGCTTCAGTTCTTCGAGCATTTGGACGAGGAGATGAGAGGGATGGGGGAGGACGAGTGGGAGCAGGCTAAGCAGAGTAGCACGCCCGACGCAGCATGGCAACTCTTCGGCAATGCAACCAGGCAAGCCCTTCGAAAGTCTTTCGGCAAAGCAGACCAGCAGGTAGATGATGACGTAAAAATGGTCAGATGTAAGCGCATGGAGCTTCTTGAACAAAGACGTGAAATACGTGCGAACATGCGACCCGACATCACACAAGAGCAGTACGACGGACTTCTGGAAGACCTGGCTACTGTGACGGCACTGCTGAAAAGAATGCGAGAGGACAGCCTTGTGAAGCGACGTGCGCAGATTGTACAACAGATCTGGGAAGCGTACGAAGCTTCCAACTTTGCTGAGATGCACAGACTGCGGATTGCATACAACATGAATGGGAGGGGCCCCAAAAAACGGTTCTACTATTCCCCAAAAACACATTGGACAGCAGAGCAGTGGTTACACGAGCTGGGCAAGCACCCGCACGAGGGAGGTTTGGGAGGGACGCAGATGGATGTTCAGGAGGAGAGAGCACAGCATGAGCAGCATCAGGCAGAAGGAGAACTCCCAGCCCCCCTCGACCACACCATCCTCCACGCCGTAGAGAAAGACAAGCGTGCTATGCGAAGATATTGCCGCAGGGCGAAGAAGAGACGCGCCTGGCCAGCCTGGGGCCTTCCGATTGAATGCACTTGGATGTTGCTTGATCCCCAGGCCCATCTAGAGGACCCAGACGAAGCAAGTAAGAGGCTGGAGAAGAGAGCAATAGCAAGAGCAGAGAAGGAGAAGGATGAGGAGGAGCTAGCCAAGCACACTACGCTGTTCAAATACAAGAAGGGACGACAGCTGATGCAAAAAATGGGTTGGTTGGAGGGTATGCAGCTGGGGACTTCTGGGCAGCCACTGACGGGGCAAGAGCTTGACCATCTCACGACAGCACCATATTTTGTGGGACGTGCAGAGAGAGCAGGGTTAGGCAGCGCCACGATCATGAGAGACAGCAGTGTGAAGTACGTATTTCAGCAACGACTGGACGACCTATTGTGCCTGTGCCGTACGACACGAGCGACACCGCTCGACTGGCATCGCAGCATGGCATTCGACGCAGACAAACACAACAGCAAATCAGGGATTGCAGGGAAGCGTATAATGCATGCGTACTGCAGCTTTGGGATGAGTTGGCACTCAGGAATACCAGGACGGGGGGAGAGAGCGCTACATCCTGCCTGGGCTCAGGGAGGGATCGCCCACCGGTGCAGAGAGAACTCCATCCTGTGTGTGCAGGCGTCACAATGGAGGGCCACTCAAGCAGGCTACAGCACAATACACTCGAACTACGACTGCACAAATGCCTTTGCGAGCACAGACAGGCGTCTTCTCCAGGCAGTTGCCTGGAAGCACACATGTGACGAGGACAAACCATTCGCAATGGCAGCAATCAATCACGCCTGTCTCACCATGAACACAGCAGACGGGCAAGTACACGTTGCTACCAGTGACGGAGCACAAATGGGCTTCACACTCGCCCCAGGACAGTTCAACGACTGCTACAACATTTACGTCGACCAGTGGCACCAGCAAGAACGAGAAGACATTACACAAACACTGCACGACACAATCAACCCAGTGAGCAATCAAATACACGACCTCTCCCTCAATACTTTCATGGACGACATCACGAAACACACACACCTTCCTCCCCAACACAGCAGCAGCAGACATAATCAGTCATCTCAATGGTGTGACGACACGGCTTGAGGCAAAACTGGCTAAGGGAAACTGGTGCCTCAACCCGCAGAAAACAAACCACCTCCTCCACATCAGAGGGGAAGGATGCTTTGGAACGACACGACTCCTGCGCAAAAGCAAGACGATTAAAGGCAACACGATGCGTGAGATGAGAGTGCTCGGACCCTACCTTCCTAGTGAGCAAGGCTTCAGCGGGGAAGTACATCGACGGTGCGAGGCTGCAAGGCTGGCCTGGCGTCAGGGGGGAACGTTTTGGAGCAGCAAAACCCCGAAGCCCATCAAGCGCATGATGTTCACAGCGTTCGT